ATTATTTTTAAGTACATCACAAAAAAGATTAATGTGAAAAGCTTACCTACTTTTTAAACTACCTTAGTACCATTGTTATATTTTGTTTCGAAAACCCAAATGCAATATTTCAAGCATTAAGTTCTTTTTATTGGTTGGAAAATTAGTTTTTGATTGACATAGGTTAATTCGAGCTAATAACTCAGACTTGTAACTTGAAATTTGGACTGAGTCATAAGTATATCTGAGCAAATAGTACTAGATATATTAGTACGTCCAAATGACACCACTAATTATTCATAAAGTCAATACTTGGTTTTAAAGTCCAAATGATATCCACTTTTTAAATTAATCTTTGTAAAAACATAAGAACTGTGTAATTTATCTAATATATTATCAAGCTTAGAAATAGTTTTACTAACATTTTACAATAATATTGTTGATATCATGACAAACAACACATATCTTTTAAGTTCCATCATTTTTAGACACAAACAACACCAAAACAACATATGAACTGTTTTAACTTGTGCATTCCTTTGACATCAACTTCTTTACTTGCCTTTGAAGTCTTTTAATCTTATCAGGATTTCTTTGGTAAGTTGGTCGATTAAGAACAACAGCTCCAGGTACTAGATTATTTTGATATTTAATTCTTCTTATTGATGGCATATCACTAGGAATATTTTTGGGGAATATATCTTTAAATTCTTGTAACAAAGAAATAGACACATTAGAAAAACAATGATCAAGTTTGTTAGTGTTAAAATAAAATTTTTTGTACAAATATACAATCATTGGCTTAGTAGAATAAAAAAAAAAACACTCTTAATTTCACTTTTATTTGTATAAAAAATTATATATATATATATATTTTCTCTCCCCTCTAAGCTCACAGCCTTACCAACATTTTCACTCCCCTTTTGTTCTTTTCTTAATTTTCACTCCCCTTAGCCTTACTCTTTATTTTTAATTTCAATTGGTTTTCTTTACCTATTTTGGAGATAATTGTACAAAAATGATATATATATATTTATTTATTTATTTATTTATCTTTTACAAAAGAATATCTATTTCTAAAAGCAACATTAACCATTTTTTGGTCAAATTGTCATTCCAATAACAAATAAATCATATACATATGAATCATTTCACACAAAACCTCTTTAGAATACTTTCCAATTGAAAATGACATCAAGACCTATTTTGTAACCTTTATTTTACCATATTCATTCAACCATTAAAGCCTATAATGTCTATAATGTTTAGTAATATTCAAATTCAATCTTTTAACAATTATAGTACTAATAACATTAGCATAATTCTCACTATCAATGATCATACTATATACATTGTTATTAATATGACATCTTGTATAAAAGATATTCTCCCTTTACTACTCTAAATCATCTTTCTTAATCATAATATTTAGTGTATGCCAAATAACCAACAATTCTCCTTCACCAAATAACCAACAATTCTCATCACTAGTATCCTTAAGTGACGACATCTCATTATCATTACTTTTATTTTCAGATTCAATCTTACTATGATCTTTTAAAATTATAACTCTTTTGTTTAGACATTGATAAACTATATGTTTAACCTTTAAACACTTAAAACACTTAATATCATGATTACAGATAGGTTGAGTATTAGATTTATCTTTGGAAGCAATATCATTCTCTTTTCTTATTTTAAAAGGTCTAGCTTTAGAACCCATAATTGGCTTAGTTTAAGCAACCACATCTTTTTTATAATTCGATGTCTATGATGAAAAATAACTTGAATTACCTACTTATTGTGTACTTCCCTAACATTTTAGTTGCCTTTCCACCTTCATAGCCACGTGAACCATATCTTCTAATTCAATAATATTGGCAATATAGCAATTCAATATATTAAGAACTCTTGCAATTATTACTTCTTTATTTTCCACTATATTAGCCCTAATTGTGATAATCTTTATCTTTTTATGATAACTTCTACACTGTTAAAACCCTAAGTTAGACTATGCAACCTTTAATATAACTTCTGGTAATATAGTTTTGAAATAAAACTCATCCTCTTAAATATTTTCATCTCTTCCCAACTATAGGTCTTTTATGATTTCTCCTTCTATATAAAACAAGTTGATCTCATCAAATTATATTATAATCTATAACTTTAATGATGAGTTTTTCCCTTTTCTTTTCTGAGTAGTTACGGTAATAAAAAATTAACTTAACATTTTTTCTCTCATGTTAAATAAGCTTTAAGATCATTTTTATCTTGAAAAACTAGAATTTTCATTTTAATACTCTCTAAGTTTTTATCTAAACCATCATGATACCTAAAATCTTGAATTTCACCCTTATGACTAAATTGATCAACTTGACAAAATCCTTCAACATTTCAGTTTCTAGGCTATTAAAATCTGTCCCCTTAGTTGATTAATACGTAGTCATAATCTTTAACTTTTTCTTATTCATTCTCATCAATAAACTCATTTATAGATGGTATAGCTTGCTTTTTTGGCCTTTTAACATCTTGACTTCTTTGAATTTATACATCTTGTAAACTAGCAATTGAAATCTCTTATCACTCTATTTGGTCTTGCACTTCACCAAACATTACATTCATTTTTTTCAAACTATTGATGCATAACTTATAACAAAAAGAATATGATCCCATGCCTCTTTCGAGGTGATGCCTGGTCTTCAAAAGACATCATTAAAATCTAAAAAACATGTTAATAATAAGAAAACAATGCCCTTATATTCTCTCATATATTTACACTGTAATAGATGTCAGTTCTTTTTTATTTCACTCAAATATGGTTTTTTCATGATAATATGCTCATCTTCTCATTTTACCTCTCCTTCTTACCCTTTAAACTATTTAAGAAGTTAATCTTAAACAATCAAAGAAAAACAACTTAATAATAAAATCCTTAGTATTTTAGACTAAAAAAGCAAGGGAATAACTATGAACTACAAAGAAACTGAATTACAAACATGAAAACACTAAAGATTATAAATCATATATGAATACGACATGAAAATGTGAAAAAAAAGTGTAAGCATGAATTCTAATGTAATATGACTCATTTAACCCAAAACTATATTTGGAATAGTAATATAACCATATATGATAATAGTAGATAAAAAAAATTATATTGGTATAAACTAACCCAATATTTGAAACCTAAAGAATATTATATTATAAGTGTATATATTTTACTTTCTGAATTCAATAATTTATGATTTCAAGCCTACGATATAATTCCTTTTTTTAATTTCACTTTTATTTATTTATTTATTTATACGTTAATGGCTTTATTTTAATAGTAATGAAATCCAAAACTTTTTTTTTATATAAAAGAAACTATGTTGCAATTTTAGAATTGAAGAAATAACACTAAAACAACTAGAAAACTTAAAGATAAAGAGATATAACCTAATTTTAGAGTCTTGTTCTAATACTAACTGATACGAGCCCAAATAGTACTAACCCTTGAACCCACATACAAGAATGAAATAACTCAAGAAAGCAAAAATTAGATTTAAGGATAGAAAAACTCAACACAATGATTTTCTGAACTAAGGTATCAAAGTTGTTAGAATGAAAACCCTAACCCAATGACTATAAGGAATCGCGAACTAGAAGTATAAGAAAAAATACCACAAAATTGTTGATATGTGATAAGTTTAAAATAGTTCAATGAAAAATCAATAGATATGAGTAATTCTCACACAAACACAAAATATTACTATGAAATCAAAGTCTGTAAAAGAAAAAAAAACATAAATACAAGCTAAATAACTATATTTATAAGAGATAAAAACAATCTAAACAAAGCTAAAAAAATAATAAAAGACTACTAATCCAAATGAGAAAAAGAATCTTAATCATTTAGAAAAATAATGTAAATCCTATACAATAGCTTCTGGATCTTATCTTAAAGCTTTTTCTAAGTTTGTTCACTATAATATTTTAATTCTATATAAAATAAGGCTTTTAAAAACCTTTGAAAAAATCTCACATCAATCCAATAACTAAATAAAAAATTATATTTATTAGCATAAAATTATGCATTATAAAAAATACAGCCTAAAACCGAGTTAAACTTTTCCGGCTCTTACATAAATCACATTAGTTAAAGTCTAATCTTTCCTTGTTAAAGTTTGAAAGATTGAGTTGGCCTAAGTATCTTAAATAAGCTAATTAAATATCTCTTTAAGTTTTTTATCATTAACCTTGTAATTGGTCTAATTAATATATCTAATGGATTCTCTAGTATAATTGGTCTTATTAATATCTCTAATGGATTCTAGTTAACTTATTGTTATCATTACAAAAACTTTATATTAAGTCAACTAAAATAAAATATCAAACTCAATCTCAAATATACTTAATATGATTAAATTGAGATTAAAAAGTTAGAAAAAATTAAATAAAAAACATTATAAATATTTATTGCAATGGATTATCTCTCTTCTATGTTTGTGTGTGTATCTATATATGATTTTAAATATGATTTTATAATTTACCGAGTATTAATTTTGTGAACCTCACTGTTAAATAAAAAGTAAAAAGATTAGATAAAAAAGGGCATGAATGAAAAAAAAAAAGAAAGAAAAAGAGCTGAGGTTCGTTAAATGGGAAGTAAAAGGATTTAATTAAAAAAAAGTACTCGAATAAAAAAATCTAATAATTAAAAAACGATTTGAATGAAAAAAGAAAAAAGAAAAAAGAAAGTTGAGGTGATATTAAATAGTGTTTTTCACTCGTATATAAACAGTTAATTATTAAAATAATTATGGCAATTTAAGCTGTTTCGAAACCAAAACTCGAAAGCCCGTTGCCTTGCAATGCAAATTACTGTATGGTCTTTAACACGAGCGTCGTAATGGAAGATTTATATCTCTATAATAAGAGATTCCCAAAACATGATAATGTTAATATATCAGGAGCTTTTTTTAATAAAATCCCAGACACCATCATGATATCTGTTTTATATTTACCTAGTTTGGTCATAGACAAGATTGTTCGTTAAAGAAATTGAAGTGATAAACATGAATCTAATTGTTACAATAATAATAGTCAAAGCTCAAAAAAAAGAAAAAAAAAAGTCATCTGTTTTGAAGATTTGGGAGTTTTCACCAACAGGAATGGGTGATCTGCTCTTAGCTTCTATGGATTTGCTTTTATTTCCGCTGTACCAGAAAAGAAAAAAACAGTGGCTTTTTATAGTCAATACATAAGACTGGCAGACAGACACGGTCAGTCAATGTCCATGTCATGCTTACCTTAAAGTAAATGATCTGCTCATGTCATTTTGTTCTCTCCAGTCACTGGCAAAATATTCCACATCTTCTTTGAATTTCTCTTCCCTTAGCTTGATTTGTCTACGGAACCAGATTTTTCTTGGAAGCCCCTACTGCAACACCGTTGTTAGCGCTTGGTACTAAAACCCAACTGAATATCTTGCCTTCTTTTTGTATGTTCTTTAGAATTAGAAAGCCAAAATATCTCTCTTCTTGATCATGCTTGCTGGGACGTTCTTTGTTTTCTTGATTGTTAGTCTTACTAGCTGCTATTGGTTGCCGACGTTTCCTGAGGCAAAGCTGGTCCAAGAAGAAGGTATGTCTAAATTTCTTTCATTATGTTTGTCGCAGATACGGTTTTTTTAGTTGAAATGGGACTTCCTGGATTCTGGTTTTTTTGTTCTCTGCTTGGTATTCGGGTGAAAATGTGTGGAAATGGTAAAAAAAAATAAAAAAGAATCTTGAGCATTGGGTTATTTGTGATTTATAGGCTGCTTTCTGATGGAAAAATGAAGGAACTTGGAATTTCGATGTTCGGGTTTTTTCCTTTGTCGTTTATAGTAAAGTTTCCTGTTTCTTTGTGTTTTTTTAAACAGATTTTTTTTTTGCTCACATGAGCTTACATTCATGTATGTGCACATATCTTCAAGCAAAAACTGAGCCCAGTGTCTTTTAAAGTGAATAAATAAAAATGCTTTTGCATCATAGAGCTTTGCAAATGTAGGAATTTATATACACCTAGCACTTACTTTTAGCTACCTTGTAAACATCGACTGCTGATACGATGCTTATCTGTCCATGGATGATATTTAGTTGATGCTCTCGAAGAAATTGCACGAACATTGGGTTCTAAATACTGGAAGTTCAATGCTGATACTTGCGAAATTGAAATGGCTGGAGTGACTCAAGTCCCACCAAAGAACGCTGAGCAAAGGATAGATTGTGAATGCAACAATGGGAACAATACTGATTGTCACGTCACAAGAATGTATAATTCCCTCTCTTGCTACTAAGAAACATTATGCTCCATTTGTTTTTTGATAGGAGGCTTGATCTTATTCAATACATATTTTGTGCTGTTCTTGCTATGGGTAGAAGATGCATATATCCATTGTTGATTATATGTTGTTTGTCAAGTTCACACTTTCTTTATGGGAAGTGCTGCATCTGAGAAGTATTATTTATTACATGGTATCGTATATTTGAATGTATACTCATATTTCAGGGAGCTAAAACGTTATAACCTTCCCGGAGTGCTTCCGACTCAACTTATTAAGCTTCCTCGTCTCCAAGTAGTGTAAGGGCCTCTTAAAATCTTTCCCTATTCTCTTTAATGTTAATATTCATTCCCGCAGAGTTTTATTTCAAGTAATTTTCCTTTCAAGCGCAGTGATTTTGCTTACAACTACCTCAACGGTACTCTGCCACGTGAATGGGCTTCAATGCAGTTAACTTCAATGTATGCTCTTGTCGACTTGCACAATCTCTTTCCTTCATTATCAATTATATTCTCCTCCATGATCAACATATTTCATGCAGAAGTGTTCTCGTAAACCGTTTGTCAGGCGAGATTCCAAAGGAACTGGGAAATATCACCACTCTCACCACCTTGTAAGTTGCAAGCTTATGCTCATCTTTTTAGTTTTCTTTATCTGGATATTATTATGGAGACTTGATTTATATGCATTTCCATACAATCCAATCGCTTTGGTGTTTTCATGTGTTGCTATAGAGATATGTAATACTGTATTTCTGTTGCATCGTCTTAGAAATCTCAAGAGCTTCTGTTTTGTTTGCCTTTTAATCTTTATTTTTCATCAGGTCCCTCGAAGCAAACCAATTTTTTGGCACAATCCCCCCTGACCTCGGAAAACTGATCAACTTGCAGGCTTTGTACATCTCATTTCTTCCCTTGTTATTTTAGTTTTTTCTTCTTTTTTATTTACATTCTAAAACTTTGTTCAAGGATGGAAGAGCATGTATTCTGATGGTTTGTTTCTCTGATATTGTGCTTTCAGGGGGCTGTCTTCCAATCATTTGTCTGGAAACTTGCCGGTGTCTTTTGCTGGACTAATAAATCTAACAGATTTGTAAACTTTTGTAATTCTTTTCTCTTTAGTTTAGACCTAAATGTTCCTGTGTTATTTGTGCCATATTAACAGCTTTTGATTGTATAATGCAGTCGGATAAATGATAACAACTTCAGTGGAACCATTCCTATCTTCATACAGAATTGGAAAAAGCTTAAAAGATTGTAAGATCCCTAATTTATTATAAGTTCCTATTTTGAGTTTCAACAAGGAGAACCGTAATTACATGCTCATTTCTAATTTCCATTCTTTTAAATTTGAATGATTGAAGAGAAATGCATGCAAGTGGCCTGGAGGGACCCATTCCATCGAACATTTCTCTTTTGAATAATTTAGTTGTGTTGTAAGTATAAATTTTATTTGTTTTCATCTATTTGTCTTATGTGAATACTTTTCTGTTTATTGATTAGATTAACAGTTAGGCTCAACCTGGCACGCTATTATGCAGGAGAATTAGTGATCTAAATGGACCAACTCAGGATTTCCCTATGCTCAGCAATATGACAGGCATGATCAAATTGTATGTTAACTTATCATATCATCATACATATTGAAGGAGTGAATGCCTTTTTCATTGATGTTGGCCAATTTAACATGATTTCATTATGTATACCAGGACTCTGAGGAACTGTAACATTTCTGGGAAGCTCCCTGCATACCTTTGGACAATGAAGAGTTTGGAAGCATTGTAAGTAAGAAATGTGTAGTTTGGTGCATGAAGCTTCTTAAACTTGCAGTATATGCATCAGCTTCTTCTATGTTGTCAACTATTTATGCGTGCAATGTTTATCTGATTGTCCAGAATAGCTTCACTTTTGGAATCTATCAATATGCTTGACAAAGAAAAACTGCCACCTATATTGTCCTTTTAATTCTCAACTTTGAGCAGCATTGACTATTTCAACTGTTGTTTCATGAACTCTGAAACAGTCTGTAAATCTTTTCCATGTGTTAATCAATATAGGAACTTAATAATAATAAAGAAGGGAGAATGATTGGAATTATAATGGGAAAATTGTTCTATATGTTTTGGTGGAAGGAAAATAGACAGTGTAGAGTGGGGCTTGCAAACTTAATTATAAGATAAAACGAGCAAGTGGTGCCATAAGCTTCTAATATGATCACGAAAATGGTGCATGCTATCAGTCATGTATGTCCTATGTATCTGTTTGATGTAAAGTTGTTCACATTTTTAACTTTAAAACAACCGGTGGCTGACAGTTTGACATTCAGAACTTAGAATTATGAGAAGCTGAAGGTCTAAATTATTGTTCTTGTCAAGTGCAAAATTTGTTTGTAAGAACCTGGTATAATTCAGAAACCGGTTGTATCTCTGTGTTTTTCTTCCATTAAATTCAGCAGACCAGATAGCATGTCGCTGCTCACCTGATGTTTGTTCCTCTTTGCATAAGGTCACGAATTGGTATAAGACATGAACATGAAAATGCAGTAACATTAGCTCCCTTTTGTTGTTTGTTTAATATTTTACGTGGTTGAAGAGTTGATATTTGTTGTTAGGAGCAGGAAAACAGCTAACATAATGCTAAGAAATATACAGATAAAAACTTTGGTTTTGTTTTTGGTGGAAGGAAAATAGACAGTGTAGAGTGGGGCTTGCAAACTTAATTATAAGATAAAACGAGCAAGTGGTGCCATAAGCTTCTAATATGATCACGAAAATGGTGCATGCTATCAGTCATGTATGTCCTATGTATCTGTTTGATGTAAAGTTGTTCACATTTTTAACTTTAAAACAACCGGTGGCTGACAGTTTGACATTCAGAACTTAGAATTATGAGAAGCTGAAGGTCTAAATTATTGTTCTTGTCAAGTGCAAAATTTGTTTGTAAGAACCTGGTATAATTCAGAAACCGGTTGTATCTCTGTGTTTTTCTTCCATTAAATTCAGCAGACCAGATAGCATGTCGCTGCTCACCTGATGTTTGTTCCTCTTTGCATAAGGTCACGAATTGGTATAAGACATGAACATGAAAATGCAGTAACATTAGCTCCCTTTTGTTGTTTGTTTAATATTTTACGTGGTTGAAGAGTTGATATTTGTTGTTAGGAGCAGGAAAACAGCTAACATAATGCTAAGAAATATACAGATAAAAACTTTGGTTTTGTTTTTGGTGGAAGGAAAATAGACAGTGTAGAGTGGGGCTTGCAAACTTAATTATAAGATAAAACGAGCAAGTGGTGCCATAAGCTTCTAATATGATCACGAAAATGGTGCATGCTATCAGTCATGTATGTCCTATGTATCTGTTTGATGTAAAGTTGTTCACATTTTTAACTTTAAAACAACCGGTGGCTGACAGTTTGACATTCAGAACTTAGAATTATGAGAAGCTGAAGGTCTAAATTATTGTTCTTGTCAAGTGCAAAATTTGTTTGTAAGAACCTGGTATAATTCAGAAACCGGTTGTATCTCTGTGTTTTTCTTCCATTAAATTCAGCAGACCAGATAGCATGTCGCTGCTCACCTGATGTTTGTTCCTCTTTGCATAAGGTCACGAATTGGTATAAGACATGAACATGAAAATGCAGTAACATTAGCTCCCTTTTGTTGTTTGTTTAATATTTTACGTGGTTGAAGAGATATTTGTTGTTAGGAGCAGGAAAACAGCTAACATAATGCTAAGAAATATACAGATAAAAACTTTGGTTTTGTTTTTGGATTACTTCTGGTTTATCTTTTTCATAATGAAAATTTATGACCTATTCATATTATGATCATTATAGGGATGTCAGTTTCAACAAGTTGGTTGGAAAAATTCCGGACACCATAAGTGCAGATCGCCTGCGATTCATGTAAGTCTGGTTCAAATTTTAGGTTACATTTACTGAAATTTTAAAGAAACTCATTCCCAACAAAATTAAAATTGATAATTTTTGTTTTGTGAAACATGATATCCATAAATGAAAGAGTAATCCGAACTTGTCTCTTGAAGGACAAAGCTGAAGTACATACATACTCTTAAAAATTACCCACACAAGTAAACATATTTATCGAAGTTTCATGATCGTATTTGCTCCCTGGTTCTGGAGTCTAGACCCTTTTTCTTTTAAAATTAATAAAGGAGCCCCTTACCTAACTATGTCCCAATGGACAAGGGCTCTTGTCAAGGGAGACTTGGAGTCTTTTCTTTCTTTTCAGCACTTTTCCCATGAAATAGATACTCGTGTCTGAAATCTCCATCCTTGTGGTTGCAAGCTCAAAAATGTTAGCATTACACAAAATATTAGTAATATATCATAAAAATCCAGAAAATGCAACAATTAGACATTTATATTGGATCTTTTCTAATTACTTCAGATATAGCCTACTAATATTGGCTGTTACTTTATTAGCTTTTTAACTGGCAACTTGTTAAGTGGAGATGTACCAGATTCAATCTTGAAGGATGGGAGCAATGTGTATGTATCTTGTCTAATGCTTGTTACAGATTGTTCTTTATTCTCTATCATTTGTTTACTTTTTCATTAAGGTGCTTAGCATTTTATTGCTCTAAGCTCTTATAATCTCAATTGACTTTCTTGTGTAATACTTGTGTTCAGTGATTTGTCATATAATAACTTTGAATTGCAAGGCCCTGAGCAACCTGCTTGTCAAGAAAACATGTGAGAATACTCTTTAAAAGTTTTCCTATATATTTCCTGTTTGATATATTCTGGGAATTGATTTTTATTTTACATGTTCTTTTGATCTTACTAGGAATTTAAACCTGAACTTGTTCCATAGCTCTTTGATGGGAAACAGCTCGTAAGATTCTTTCTCCAGATGTTTTTGGTTTTTTTGTTTGTTTGTGATCGAATTGAAAAATGATGGAGAAATTATAGATTTTTCTGAATCCACTATGCATGTTATGCTAAATTATTTTCATCTCCACTCTTTAATATAGTTTTATTCAGAATCCCCTATGCATATGTTATGCTAAGTTATTTTTGTTCCTGCACTTTGATAGAAGGAGAATTCTTCCATGCAAGGGGACTTTCAGCTGCCCTAAATGTAAGTACATGTTATTATGAAGTTTGCAAACCACTGATGTCCATTGCTCTAAATTTCCTACTGAACTTTATAAACTACTTAGGCATGAAAGTAGTTTTAACTCATGCATGAGATTTTGAATCACCTTCCAGTGCTTCGTGCAAATCTCAGCTGATTCCAGAAAAACTGAATATAAATAATATAGATTGTAAACCAAATTTGCCCCTTTACTTCAGAGGAATCATTTTGATTAGATTTCTGGTTTTTCACTTAGTTCATAACAATATGCTATTTACATATGTTTCTTTGTCCTGTCTCGTAGCAACCTGAGGCTGCCTCTTATTACTTCTCCTGTACTGCCCTAGCACAATCCAAAAGTAAATGATCTACAAATTCAATGGCTTCTTGTTACATAAAATCTTTGTTTGATAGGATTTTTCTCTCCTCTGAAGATGTTCTACCATGAATATCCTTCTGGCATGCTACTTTCCTTGAAAGGAAGACACTTCGGATAAATCTGTAATTGTCTAGACAGCCTTCCAAGGGAAGTCAGGTCTTCCATCAAAATTTGCATTCTGAGTAAGATTACCACTGCATGTCATCTTAGGCTCAGATTATCTTTAAAACTAGAGAACAACTAAAAGAAATGTTCAGAATCAATTGCCCAATCTTGTGCACTCCTGAACTATATGTAAACAGAGGTTTACCATTTGCTTGGATGGAACTCATCAAGCATCTCTCTCACTAGCACACTCAAAGAGTTCTAAGAATTGGGCTTTTGCCACACCAGTATCACGCCTAATCAACGTAAAATCCTCCCTTTGTTCATGATCAAAGTGATTTATAGATTCTATACCCTATTTAGCAACAATAACCAATCTCCATTTTAATTACTATCCATCATGGACATCAAAAACCACTTGCAATGACTTTTGTCGAGTGTTTACTCAAACCTACTATTTTGAAGGAGGCTTAAACCCCACCCCACCCTCTCCTTCAACTATATTGCTCCTCCTAGTACCCCATAAATCTCCTTCAAACCTTTTCAAGCCAGCTTTGGAGTAAAGGAAATAAGGTATTGGAAAAACAATCATTAGTGAGATCTGCAAGGATACTGATTGGCTAGCATCCATAGCAAAATGTTTGTATCATTTCTCTGCAACACTAAAAATATTGTTGAGATCGTGACACATTTTCTTGGAACTTGTATATAGAAGGAACGGCCCTCCAATGGAAGCACAAAACATGACTGTTCATTGCAGGAAGGGCCATTATTAAGCGTAGTGGAAAGAGCTGAGGCCCGTAACCAAGAGCTTACAGGTTTGAGGCATGAAAAGCATATCTCATGCAGAAAAGCTGACAGTGACAGTTTTATCCATGTCCTAACCGCAACTGGAAAAATGGTCCCTTGTTTTAGCAAACAATCATCCAAAATCCTCGTGCATTAATAAATTGTGCTATAATAATTATCATTTCAGCCTGCACAGGTGTAATAACACGCGCTGTAATGAGTAAACAATGTACAACAAATGTCACAATCCAAATCCCGGGTCCATAACCGGCAACACAGGAGCGGTGTTTAAAAGGACATTTTATCTACGCTAAGCTTCAGAACAGACATATCAAAAGAATAAATTATCCAAAAACAATAATTCATAATACTCATTACATTGTCAAAATCCAAACTTAATTAAAACAAGATGATAGTGGAGCATCTAAGATATTAAATCAAAACTAAAAGGAAAGCCTCACAAAATAAGCATGACATACCAATCAAAACTGAAGAAGCAGGAACACTTAACAAAGTCCAACTGCTATCAACAATTAAGAATCTAAAATAATATTAAGAATGATGGGTGAGTTCAACCAACTCAGTGAGGAAATAATATTTAATATACATTTTATATATTAATAGTTTACAAGACAATATATATATATATATGCGTGTGTGTGTGTGTGTGTGTGTGTGTACACACTAAACATATTATCATAAAGTAGTGGAATAAATGTCAGATATCAGATGACACCCGAAGATGACCACTGTGGGATGATCAGTCGTTACAGGCTGATACCTCTTTCACCAGTTAGGTTTACAGAATACTATCTGCACATAGAATAACTACTCTCCGTTAGCATGAAGTTACTAACAAGTCCTATATCAAGGCATAATACATATTCAAAGAATCATTAGGGAAATGTATATTATATCGAATAAAATTTAGTTCGATAGAATGTGAGTGCAAATTCAAGAATAAATGAGTACTCGGAAAATGAAATAACATATCTAAATATTCAAGAGATTAACTAATCGTACTCATCATATAATCAACATATATATTTATTTATATTATATGCATATTAAAGATTATCCCACTCACCTAGAAGAATATAGATTAAAAGGAATATCAGATGAAAGACCCGAAAAACCTATTAAGGATTGTTAGAGGAACCTACAATAAATGTGAAATATACTCAAAAGAAAATCAAAACAACAAAAATAAAAGATACCAATGTATAAAAGAAAACCAAATTTAGTCTCCTAGGTTTAGAGACTAAAACGACAATTATCCAAAACAGGACCCAAAACGTAATTTTACCAAAACTTGACCAAACTATAAATACATAACCATACTGAAATTTCACCCATAAAACATCCTCAATTCTGTCCGGAACGAAATAGAGCCCAAACTATAATGTTTTAAAAATTCAAGGACTAAAATGTAAATTCTTGAAATTAAGGGACCAAAATGAAAATATTCCAAATCAATTATCAAACTGAGATTCATCATCCTTACCCTCATAATAACACTGTCCAAAATCTCAAAATACATTTAGGGGTGAAATTATAATTTTTTTAAAGTTTAGGGACTAAACTAAAACTTTCACAACCTAAGGACCAAAATAAAATTTGGTCATCTTCAACCTCAAGACTATTCTGTCTAGATTTTACGGCAAGATAAAAATGAATTTCTTAACTCATAAAAATTAATTTAAACAAATCAACTCACAAATCCTTATTTCTTACAACATATTAGTTAATCACCTAATATTAAACCTTTAATAATCATAAATCAATCTTAACAACATGAACATCTAATCCTTATAAACCCTATCTCTTCTTTAATCATTCCATAAACAAATTATAATCGAAAGTAATATGAAAGAGAACTACTTACTTGCTATTTCCAACTTTTTTGAACCAAAAACTCAAGATCAAAAGCTAAATTTTTTGGTTTGAGGAGAGGAGGGTCACGGCCGTTATATGAATTAGAAGAGAGGTAAGAAATTCTCTTGCAACTCTTTCTTAAATATCTGGGGTAACTTAGATTGGGTTTGGGCTTGTTTGACCTTAGGTTTGGGCTAAAAGTTTGGGTTTGACATCAAATACATTTAGTCATGTGTAATCAACTATATGACTGGAACATTGGAATAAATAAAATGCTCAAATGTCCTTTATCTTCTCTCACTCTATTTCTTTGTGGGCAGATTCAAATTGTTTGCATGTTAACAGTGGTGGAAAGGATGTAAACATCAAGGAAGATAAAACAACCTTTTCATATGAAGGAGATGGACAAGAAGAAGGTGGTGCAGCTAAGTATTTTGTAAATGAGCAAAGCTTCTGGGGGTTTAGTAGCTCTGGAGACTTCATGGATGACAATGATTACCAAAATACTCGCTATACTTTATCAATGCAATCATCAACCCTCCCTGTGTTATACTCGACAGCTCGCATATCCCCAGTTTCTCTTACCTATTTCCATTATTGCTTAGAAAATGGGAACTACACAGTAAACCTTCACTTTGCTGAGATACAATTTACTAATGACCTGACGTATAAGAGCTTAGGCAGGCGTATCTTTGACATTTATGTTCAGGTATGTAGTGACACTAATGTGAAACCATACATTTTTTTTTGCTGTTGTTGGAAAGAAGACTTAACTGGACTACTTTATCTCAGGAAATATTGGTTTGGGAGAAATTCAATATTGAAGATGAGGTTGGCAGTGCTCAAAAGCCTTTAGTGAGACAAGTATTGAATGTCAGTGCGACTAATAATATGTTGGAGATCAGATTCTATTTTGCCGGGAAAGGGACGACAAGGATTCCTGATAGGGGAGTCTATGGTCCCATCATATCAGCCATCTCTGTGTTTTCTGGTATGTCATTTGCTTGAGATTTATTCTCGATCATATAATTTCAACAGTCCATGTACACATGATTGCTTTAAAACCAGCACCACTGAACAAGAGCAGAAGATTTTAGAGCTGCATCGCACATTTTTGACATGTCTCGGAAAGGAAATTTTATATTGTGATTTAAATCTCCTATCTCTGTGTGTGACTAATTTTTCTGTTTAATCGGCAGATTTGAAACCTTGTTCAAGAGGGAAAAAGATGGGAACTGTTTATGCGGTTGCTGGAGCTGTTGTAGCATCATGTCTCATTACCATTATACTAGGAATCCTTTGGTGGAAAGGATACTTGCCAGGAAAATGGTGCCAGAAAAAAGGTAATGCCTCCTCGGATTTGTGTTAATAGTTTAATAAAATTCCATTTTGCATCCATGTTTGGCAGATGTTGGAAGAATTGTATGTGGGTAAAACTTGCATAGCTGTCTAACAACCACAGCCTCAAATGGAGTCCCTTTTCTGGGTTGAGAGTATGAACTAGCTACAAACAAATTGAGATTTCTTTACTATTATCATGCATGCACGTTTAGGGAAAAGATTAGCCAAAAAGGCATCAAAGTTTCATGGGCTTATCCTTTATTCTGATACGAGTGGCTTCAATAGTTCACCTCAAGATGATTATGTACAATTAATTGAGAAAAAAAAAACTATAAGGACTAAATTTGATTGTGAGGAAAGAATATAGGGTTTTTTTTCTAACCATTGTTCATGAGACCCCTTTTTACACATTTTAGTCTCCAAGGTTTTTCTTTTTCTTTTTGATTCCTTTAGTTTAAAACTTCTCTTTTTAATTCAGAATTTCATTTTGTTTATTTGTGTTTAAGAGAAAAGAATCACTGAAAAATAATGAGGGACAAAAAAAATTATCAGTTATGACAACTAAAAAAGTCAATTATGTTGTCAATACATTTCATTTAGCAAAAAAAAAAATTTCAATTAGATGTTTTTGATCTCACATCTTGTAAGACAACTAAATTAGATCTCATAATTTTTTCTTCAATTTTTTTTAACCAATCAAACGTTAATTTAAAACTAATTATAAGTTTATTGAGGTATATACAATGTTGTCTAAGTGTTTTTAAGTGAATATATGGTTTATAACGAGTTTTTCAACTCAAATTAAAAAGTATTTGTTTGTATAATTGGATTGTATTTCTTAAAATTTTGAATTTTTTTAGTTTTAAATTAATATTTTTTATTTTTTTGATATGTTAGTATCAAAAAATAAAAAAAAATATTTTAATATATTTTTAAATAAAAAATATTTTAAAAAATAATATTTACTGCACTCACGTATACTTTATACTTTTAGTCAAACTTAAATTTTTCAGCCACTTGATTTTTACAGGTTGATGGTACGTCATCTACCATAGTTTCTTTTTCTATTTATTTTTTTTAATTTTGAATAAGGTTGATTATGCTATCATGCAAAGACAAAAAAAAGTTAGATACTTGTGCCTAGCCTGCAACACATGCTCGCCTAATCTGATTTTTGGTGGCCTCGAAGCACTGTCTTACAAGGCCCAATTGGAATAGCTCTTTATTTTTTATCAAAAAAACATATTGATTAAAATTAATTATAATAAAATGATTAAAATTATATTTTTTATTTTATTCAATTAAATACCATGCTATAGTATTTTTTTATATAATATTAAGAATTTTTTTTTTAACAGCCCTTCATGATTATTATGTTTTATTTAAATTTTAATCAAAAGATTTTCTGATTAAATTATTAAAATTATATTTAAGATTTTATTCTATTGGACACCATTTAACCTGACATTTATTTTCATAAAAGATTATAGTGATTTTTTATATTATTATATATTAACTTTCCATGTAGACTGTTTTTAAATTTGTGGTTATTGATGCTCAGTGAAAATAAGATTTTGGTTTTGTTATATGTTTATTATAAATTTCTTAAATAGTTTTTTTAGGGTGATCACTCTTCGATTTTCAATGTATTTTTCATATTATGCTAATTTTTTATTTGAAAAACAATATTTTATATCAAAAATTATTTTCGTATAAGAAACACAATTAACGATTTATTTTATTCAACATGCGATATGAACTTTTCAATGCCAACCCATTCTTCTTCTTCTTCTTATTTTATTATTAAAAAATAACTTTTAATCCTTCCCACAAAACGTATACATCTTCAAGTCTGACTTACATGAAAGCTCATAAAGATGCTTTTCTGAGGGAAGAAAGGAAGCTTACTATAGACATGCTCATGTTGGAGGACGAGAGATGCCTTTTCAACAGGGTTTCATGGTCTACTCAGTAGTACATCAAAAGACTGACAATTCATTGTCACTTTACGCCCTGTCTCCTACTTGAACAGATGCTGAAGGACTTAATTTTCCAAATCGAACATTTTCTCTGAAACAAATTAGAGCTGCTACTGATGACTTTGATCCTTCTAACAAGATTGGAGAAGGTGGTTTTGGTCCTGTATACAAGGTACTAGGCAAAAGTTATCAGCTTTCCCGTTTGGAGTATCTTCTGCGTCTCTCTTTTTTATGTCACAACCATATGAAGTTTTTGATAGAGGCCAGCGTGCAGGGTCAATTACCTGATGGTACTGTAATAGCGGTGAAGCAACTTTCATCAAAATCAAGGCAAGGAAATCGCGAATTCTTAAATGAGATGGGCATCATTTCTTGCTTGCAGCATCCGAATCTTGTGAAGCTGCATGGATGTTGTATTGAAAGTGACCAGCTATTATTGGTTTATGAGTACATGGAAAACAATAGTCTTGCGCGTGCTCTATTCGGTGAGTGTTCATCATATGAAATGAGCAATTTCATCTAAACTATTATAATGCTGTAATCGAAGGGCTCATATGGATAGCGTTTTAATTGAGCAAGCCTTGTTTTCTTCTCGGATGATTTGTAGGTCATGAAATCAATCAGCCTAACCTGGACTGGCCTTCAAGGCTTAAGATCTGTGTTGGGATAGCTAGAGGTCTAGCTTTTCTCCATGAAGAATCAAGATTTAAGATTGTTCACAGAGACATTAAGGCTACAAATGTGCTACTTGATGGGGATCTGAATCCTAAAATATCCGATTTTGGATTGGCTAGGCTCGATGAAGAAGAGAAGAGCCACATCAGCACCCGAGTTGCTGGAACCATGTTAGTCGCCACATGCTTTAATAAATGAAAACCTGAAATTTCTGGTATCTTGTTCCGTTTCAATGTTAAATTACAGGTTCTTTATCTTGATATGCAGAGGATATATGGCACCAGAATATGCACTGTGGGGTTACTTGACCTACAAAGCAGATGTTTACAGTTTTGGGGTTGTGGCCTTGGAAATTGTTAGCGGGAAGAACAACAATAACTATATGCCAAGCGACAACAATTGTGTTTGTCTCTTAGATTGGGTAATCTTCTTCCTGTGCTTAATACATTGCCCTTATGTTGTAGCTTGCAAGACTCAATGTGGAAGTTTTAACTGACGCATGTTGCAGGCCTGCCATTTGCAACAAAGTGGGAGTTTTATGGAGCTTGTTGATGAGACGTTAAAATCTGAAGTTAACATGAAAGAAGCAGAAATTATGGTTAAGGTAGCTCTCTTGTGTACAAATGCATCCCCGACACTTAGGCCTACAATGTCGGAGGCAGTGAGCATGCTTGAAGGACGACTGGCTGTTCCTGACACAGTTCCAGTACTTCCATATACCGATGATTTGAGGTTCAAAGCCATGAGAGAACTCCGTCAGCATGAGCAAAGACATGGTTTCAGTGGGAGCCAAACACAAAGATCAAACACTGTTCAAATGTTGAGCTCTTCGTCTAAATCTGAGAACGCCAGTTACGAGATAGGCTCAGACCCAAAACTCCAAAGACATAGTTTCAGTGGGAGCCAAACACAAAGGTCAAACACTGTTCAAATGTTGAGCTCTTCGTCTAAATCTGAGAACGCCAGTTACGAGATAGTCTCAGAACCAAAACTCTAATCATGTTCCACAGCATTATTTGGGGTTCTTAACAGCTGGGAAGTACTGGCTCTGTCGCTATTGTGATGTTGAGTTTCAGCTATTTATTTGAAATTTAACTCGCTGGGACCGCATCGGTCACCATAAAAATCTGGTGAGGAATTCATCGATATGAAGTAAATTTTGATGGAATGTGTGTGTGTATTTTTTTTTTTTTCAGGTTGAGAAAGGGAGGACTGGTTTGAATTAATTTTTCTTATATTAAATTACAAATTCAATGGATTCAAACCTATCATTCTGTACACACTTGAAAATTTTTCAAAGTTGTCTTCCTTGTAAATTTCCATCATTTTTAATCAAAATTGTTAATTTTATTTTGTTCCGTTCAAAATGTTTTTGACCGTGTATCTTGTTTTAGTTCAAAAAATATAACAAGCTAGAATATATTTTATCTTATTTAAAATCTCAGCTTATTCCAAAACTCTTCTCAAATTCCAGCTGGATTGCTCTGGTTCCATTTCTTATTTTTGCTTTTTTTTTTAAAAAAAAAAATTATTTAGTTTTACTATATCAATTATATCTTATTATATTTCTTTTTTTAGATTGATTTTTTTTTTAATTTCATCATTCAACAATAAGATTATTAATAATTGAGTTTTATAATTTATTTTAATATGTTTTATTTAAAGTTATCATAATCAAGTCACAAATTTAAAACCACAATCCAAGTTGATCTAATATATCTTTATTTCAACATTTCTTCTTTTAAAAAAAATATTTTGAATATTTTTTTTAGTCGAACAATATTTTTATCATTCATTTAAATTATTTTTAAATCTATCAAGTTAATCAAATCATATTAATTCAACTTTTTTTTTTTAAGTTTTATTTGTATTTGAAATTTAAATTTCAAATTAGTTTAGTTTAGTTTATCTTTAAATTTAAATTATATATATAAACAATATAATTTTAAAATAACACGTGAAAACCGTCCAAATAGAATTGACAATCGACCCAATATTGAAGTGTACATTAGCACAATTTAATGGGAAAACTTTGTAAAGATGATGTTTTGTTCCATTTTACAAGATTTTAATGGGAAAAACCTGCCGTGTGGTCAATTAGCAGGGGCAAAAAAATGACGGGACTTAAAAACATAGAACAGAGAAAATCGTACAGAGCCTTGAATTAAGATTTGCTAGAGAATCCTAGTGGCTAAGCCTCTGTAGCACAGTGGTAGTGCATTTGCCTTTTAAGCAAGAAGTCGTGAGTTCGAACCTCACCAGGGGCATTCCTGTTTTAAATTTAATTTTAATTTTTTACCAATCCCTAATTCTTCTTCATGTTTAAAGTTAAACCACTGTACATAGTCAAGACAAAGTAAGTAAATTTAGTAGTTTCATCCTCATGTTTATGTAGCTGCTGGGCTGCATAGAAAGAGAGAGAAAGCATTATTTTATTAAGAAATAATGGATGGATGACATTTCACCTGCTATTGAATATTGCCCCATCCATCCAGCTAAACGAAAGTGAAGTGGGGGAAGGAAAAAGGAGGGATGTCTGGCATCTGTCAACTTCAACGGATTGGTCACCAAACTGGCTATTTTAGGCTATCAGTACACAAGGTATCATAATTTGGAGAATTAACACTTCCGCACAAGGTTTTCTTGAAGTAGAGCACAGTTTTGGAATCAGTTGCAGTTCACAAACGCAATATTTAATTCATACCGTGGTGACTGGTGATTATAAAACGTTATATTTATTAAATATTATGGTTTAGAATTATAATGTAATTTTTTTTTTAATTTTATCAAAATTTTAACAGTGTTTCTTCTATATAGAAACTTTATCTAAAATATTATCTCGTTTAAAAATAAATTTAAATAATCACAATAATCAAATACAATAAATTCTCACGTTCTACAATCATAAATAGCCTCAGACTCTTCATTCAAAACATAAATCTCAATTATTTTCATTTATTATATTTATGAATTATATTTCTATATCAAAATGTTTTCATGAGATGAATGCATATAAATAAATATACTAATATACTAAAGGAATATGAAATATTTAAACAATGCAATATTTTACTAATTTTTTTTCAAAATATGTTAACATAATTATTTATCTATCTATGTTTATATTGTTTACCAAATGATTCAAATGTTTTCATGAGATGAATGCATATAAATAAATAAATATATTAATATACCAAAGAATATAAAATACTTAAACAATGCAATATTTTACTAATTTTTTTCCAAAATATGTTAACCAAATAATTTAGACTCATCAATAGCATAACTACATCCTACTTTTGCTGTCTTGCTGTTATCTGAGTGACCTTAACCTTTATTATAATATCATCAAGAGTTATCATCTCTTTAAAGTTGTCAAATGCATTGTGTCAACCATTGAACCACCGAGATACATTAATTTAATATTAAATAAAAAAAATTGAAAAAACAAATCAACAAAAAAAATAAAAAAAAAACTAAATCAATTTGTCTAAGTTGCACAGGTTATAATCTAGTGATAACCCCTTAGGACAAAAAAAAAAAAGAAGAAGAAGAAGAAGCTTATAAAACTCAATTTATGATCAACCCAATGTTAAAGAACTATTTTTTTTAAAAAAAAATCAAATAATAAAAAGATAAAAAATGACCAGAGTTAACTCGGGTGAGGAGACCAGGATAACACCAAACCAGAGTTAACTCAGATTAACCTCTCAAACTCGGGTGAGGAGACCAGGATAACACCATGGAAAGAAAATAAAAAAAAAAATTATAATGTTCAATTCATAATCAACCCAAATTTAGAAGAAAAAATTGAAAAATAAAACATTCAATTACAAAACAAAAAAAACTCGAATTAACCTGGCCAACCCGTAAAACTCACGACCTGAGTCATGAGACCATAATATGCTTATAGAAAAAGAAACTATTACAAAGCTCAATTCTCAAATAACTCAATGTTGAATAATAGAATTGATATGAAAATTAATTAAAAAATAAAAAAACAATAATCTGAGTTAACAAAGCTAGACCACAAAACTTATTACTTGGGTTATGAGACTAGGATAACTTCATAAAAAGAAAATCAAAACAAATTATAAAACTTAATACCCATTGAATTTAATGTTGGCGGATAAAATTGAAAAAAAAATAATAAGTTTGAAATTGAATAACAATCCTAAAATATTTTGAGGACCAAAGTAAAAAAAAGCCTTGACATTTCATTGTTTATTGCTACAATAAAATTCCAAGGCCTTTTAGTATATATTAACTATATGACCGATATTTCGCTAATAGTTCAATATTTTTTATTTCTTAAAAAGCATATATATAGATTTTTACATGTTTTTATATATAAAATAAATCTCAAGCAGAATTTAAAAAGTTCATGCATATATCTATTTAAATAAATCGAGAACTATTATATAATAGAAAAATTATTAAACCTAATCCCTACCTAGCCATAGTTAATCAATCAAACATGTGACTTAGATTATGGACTTAATTGGGTTCGATAATGTTTTTTTTATAATTTGTTTTCTAAAATAGTCACTTGTAAAATTAAGAACCAATAAAATATCAAAGTGATTGGAAAAAAATAAAATAAAAAACAAATTATATTGCTTAATTAATAATCAATCAAATATTAAATGATGAAATAAAAATACAATTATAATGAATACAAATAAAAAAATAAAAAAGACTAAGAGTTTCTGAGCCTTCGAAAAAAGGCCCAAATACGCGGTCCTAGAGTAGCCCCCATGCCTGGGTAATTATAATGAATAAAAATAAAAAAAATGAAAAAGACTAAGAGTTTCTGAGCCTTCGGAAAAAGGCCCAAATGCGCGGTCCTAGAGTAGCCCCCATGCCTGGGCTTTTCTTTTAAATTTTCTCAAAAGGCTAACAATAAAACGAATGACGTATCGTTAACCTTATAATGCTCTGGAAAAAAATAAACAATAGGCAACGTACCACCTTTATTATCTATATTCTAGCAACCTCTAATTGCTATAAAATGAAGCTGGTCTATTTTAGCCCAAAAAAAAAACTCATTCTCAACATTCCAAACACCTTATAAAAAATATTTATAGTTTTTAATAGCCTAGAAATTGACTTCATAACCCACAATTAACTCGAAATAAAAAAAATAATTTGGATTCAAATCTAATGTTTCAGGCAAGTTTAAAGGAGATAAGCACATTATATAAACTTTCTCCATAAAAAAAAACTCATTGGCATCAAAACCATTCATTTTTGTGACCGCAATTGATCTCAACTGAGATTTTATTTTTCTATCACGACAATCTGGTCACTTTCTTTTTACTCTCTTAAATCAAGGACTAAAAAATAAAATAAAAAAATTTTGGGATCAAAATTGAATTTCATAAATTGTTAGGGATTGTAATTTTATAATTTGAAAACTTGGAGGACCAAAGTGTACACTTAACCCCTAATTTAGAAAAACCATCTTTTTTTGTTGCTATTTTCATGTTAGTCCTCTATGTTTGGACCCTATATTTTCTTAATAAATGTGCTTTAATTGACCATTTATTTAGGTCTATAAAGGTATAATAAAAAAGAACTTAAAAAAAAAAAATTACTATAATAATCTAGAGTGATTTGTTCCCCGATGAATGATGGCATAAGAATAATATTTTTGCTACACCTTTTAGAACATTTCTTAATTAATCAATCAATCAATCTTTCCTCTCAAACCAATAATATATTTAAACCCATCATCTTCCTTGTCTCATTCATCATTCCTCCCGACAAGTAAAATATAAACTAATTTTTATCCCTTTTGTCAATACCCGCACTTTTTTTAGCAAACGATTATTGTTAACAAAAATTACTATATGTATATCATCTAATGATAATGTTAAAAATTTAAAAATAAAAACCTAAAATTTTAAAGAATGATATAAATAAAACCTTTTTTAAAGTTGGAGAGACAAGAAAACTAGTTTATATCGATGAAAATTAGTGATGAAAATTATTAAAGAATTAGCGATGAAAACTCACTTATTTTTAATTTTTCTTTAGAAAATTATGAAAAAAAATTTAATGTTTTTTTTAAAAATTATGTTGGTAAATTAAATATCCCTCCATTCTTTTAAAAAATAGCTCTCCCCTAAAAAATCTAGTAACAAAAAATGTTTACCCACATAGTATTCCTTCAATAGATATGTTGTAATTCAAAGTTTGAAAAAACATTCATTACCCTTATTTTTGAAAATATTTTCCTTCCCCTCAAATATATATATACACACACACCAACAAAATATTAAGCTAGTAATTTGAGTTTTAGGTAAAATTTAGCTTCCTGCCTTTGAAAATATTTTCTCCCCCCTCTAATTTATATATCTCTTTCTTATTTCCAAGAGTGTTTTCCTTATCACATACTCTAATTCCATCTGACGTTCTCTCTTCTATCCCCTTCCACTCATACTCTTTTATTCCCTCTCCATATTCTTTTCTTTTTCTTTCTTTCTTTATTTTTTTAATTTCTCTCCTTGTTTTTATTGGTTTTTCAAAAACATATAAACAGCAGAAATAATAAATTTAAAATTATTTAAAAGTTTTAAAAATTTCTTTAGACAGATATAGAGTTGTTTAAGATTTATATAAAGATTACTTCAAGATCAAATATTCTTTTGAGCTTTTAATATTTACTTCAAGGTTGAGTTGTCGCAAACTAAAAAGTGTCAAAGTGTTCAATCTCTAACATTAATATATATTAACTACTAGTGAGAAATCTTGTAAGCCTTTTTAGAAGAGAAATTGTTATACATTAGAGTGCAAGATATTTTTTAGGTGTTTACATATTATATTTTTCTCACTATTTTCTTCTAGAATAAGAGGCATAATATTCTATTTATAGAAAAATTAAAAAAACTTTCTAAATGGTAAAATATCAATTTATCCCTTAAATAATATAAAATATCTTATTTTAGAATAATCTTAGAAATTTATTCAATCAAGTTCTTGCTTGATGTTTTTTATAGTTCTATAATTGTAATACCCTGTATTAATTACATTCTAGTCTTTAATTTTTAAAATTTATTTACAATAAATTCACACATGATTAATCATCTCATTTTAATATCTGACCAATAGTTCTTATGTATATGACCCATTAGATTCCGTAATAAGTTGACTCAAATATAAATCATAATTCTAAATAAAATAAGAAAAAATTAAATTAAATAATTTAATTTATTATAAATTCATTAATTGATTAATTTATATTTAAAGATCAAGTACAATATTTAGCAACCTGTTATGATCCTCTACATATTATGAAAGTTATAAGTAGTTTAACTTAACCTTTTAATAACCAATTTCTCAATGTAATTATTATTCATTCATCAATAATATCTTGATTTAGACATTATAGTATGAAGTGTCTTTACTTTGTCGAATCATGTTAGTTCTCAACATTATAGTAATTTATTCTTTGAATATAATTTTAAACTCTTTTCAAATCTTATTCCATATTGGCTAAGTGTTTTACAATCAATACTATTTAAAAACAGATAAAACATTTTTTTTCTTCTAATTTAGCTAGGATGATAAATCCTCTCTTAATTACTCATATACCTTCATATAGTTTATATTATACTCAATATTTATCTTTTTGTTACTCTTGATTAGGACAATGTGTGGTTAGGATAAAGACATTACACTCTCTCTATATAAGATAACTTAATGACATCAAGTCTAAGGATCACTTACACTATTATCACGATAGTTTTTTCATAGATATAAGTGATCTCTTCACAAGGAATTCTTTAGCAGGTTAGTATTCTTTAGCAGGTTAGTTCCATATACATGTCATCTAACAAGTACTTTCATATTAGTTTTAGGTATCTCATATACATCAGCTTATGAGAAGAAATGTTTTTTTTCATAAAAAAAAATATAATATACATCGATCTCAATAGCTCTAATTAATGTCTTTGTTTTAAGCTATAGATAGACAATCGGCTAGAAACCCATTAATGCCTTTGAGCCACATCTAGACAATACAATGCAACTTCTCTCAAGTAAGATATACTAGGAGTGCTAATACATTCACTAGACAATCAATTTCTTATCCTAAAATTTCATATAAAACCTATCCACTTCGGTTTTCTAATAACCTTAAACCAAACAACTAAAAGATGATTTTTAAATCCCAACATCTGCCATGCCGCGCACTCACGGATGACAATATTCACTAACAATTTTTTCATTCTTCATTCTCTTAATCTACCAATCAACAATATTATGTAATAAAAATAATTTATTTTCTCTTGTTTCTTACTCTCTCCATATAATCTTTTTGATAGATAGTATGGTTGATTATGTTGTTGGTATTTTTTTATATATATTTTATATTTTGTTATTGTTACTATAATGACGTGTTTAATTTGGTATTTAATGATGGTTAAAAGTGTTGGGTTTATGAATTTATTTTAATTTAACTTATTTTTGATATTATTGTCTTGTATATAATTTTTAGTTTATATTGATAATACAAATTTGTGTAAATAATGTTAGTTTTTTTATTTGTTGAATTAAACTTAATTGTAAGAAATAAAAATTCAATTATAACAATATTGAGAAATTAAAAAAAAACAATTTGATGCATTGTTAATTTTCATTACTTACATAATTTCTATTTTTTAATTTTCATAATTTTTTCTAATTTCCTATAAAATTTAATTTTTTAAAAATAAATTATCAACTAAAAATTTCATCGGAAAATATCGACCTATATTAGTGATAGAATATATTATTTTAGCAATTAAATATTCTGGAACGAGTATACTTGACATGAATCATTTAAAAAATAAGCTCATTAATTCTCCATGAATCCCCTACATGCTCAATTGGGATTGACTCATTCATTCAGAAAATGTGGTTATAAAAACTATACGTGGAGCAATTAAACATAAATTGATACCTATCAAAAGTTGACAACTTCAACTCCATTATCAACCACTTATAGAACTTAGTTGGATTGCACTCTTTACCTCAAGTTTTGGATTTGAATTGAACTAATTTATTGACAGAAATAATTCATAGAAAAGAATCAAGAGTTATAACAATAATGTTAAATTTTTAATAAAGATTTTTAGTTTATATTGATGATATAAATTTGTGTAAATAATGCTATTTTTTTTATTTGTTGAAGTAAACTTAGTTGTAAGAAATAAAAATTCAATTATAACAATAATGATAAATTAAAAAAAATTAATTTGATATACTTTTAATTTTTAATTTTCATTACTTTCATAATTTCAATTTTCATTTTTTTTTTCTAATTTCATCTAAAATCCAAGTTTAATTTTGAAAACAAATTATCAACCAAAGATCACAAAACGGGTGCCCTTGACTACATGAATCATTTAAAAAATATGCTTGTGAATTCTGTAGCGGATCCTACCAGTTCAATTCGGATTGATTTAGAAAATGTGGTTAGAAGAAATCTACATGGGAAGCAATTAGACATGAATTGACTACGACCCACCAAAAATTGATAACTTCAAACTCCATTATGAACTGCTCATTAAACTTATTTGGATTCCACTCTTTATCCCTAGTTTTGGATTGTTCATGGAAAACAAGCAAGAGTTATTTAATTGGACCTCGAGGATTGACAAGGCGAATTTACAAACATTTAATCGGTAATTTTTTTTTTTTTTAGTTTTTGAGATTAAAAGGAAAAAGCATCAAAGCAAGTTGCAGAATGTCATTTTCACCAATTTAAGAATTTGTTTTTAACAATTCCCCATGTCCACCTATAAGTCAAGTACCTCATAAATGAAACCTTGTTCGAGCTTCTCTCCTTTTGTTTTTCCCCCTATTTCTGCATCCAAGTTTTGCAGGATGCTTGAACCTCGCCGTAGACTTCTTCAGCTTCGCCGAGTCATGGCGGTCACGGTCAGCTTTCTTAGCTCTACAGTTACTTTGCTGGCATCAAATGAGTCACGTCCAGAAGAAGGTAAGATCAGCAACCTCACCACCACACTACGACTTTGTCTTAGCAGTAATGGGATGCTGTATATCTGAGGAAGTACGTGCTTGAAACCAACCATTTTTCTAAGCTTCTATTTGTGTGCTAATTAACATAGAAAGTTGAGCTCATTACTTTTCCGTCTGCAATTCTTCACTTGGTTGCTTTATTGGAAAAAAAAAAAACATTAATTTCTTCACTCTGTATACACAAGAGCTGCTTATTTTTCACTCTCGAGAAAAAAATAAAATAAAAATAAAACGGAGTTCAATTTCGTACTTTTACTCTCGACGCACACCCAGCTATTCATGTGAGAGACGATGAAAGCTGCTTTAGATATTTTATGTGCATGCATCGTACCTTCCTTAATTTACATCATTTAATGATATTGTTCCTAGCCAACAAGGGCGCGCGCCACTGTGTATAGGGGTTAGAAACGTTGGGTGGTTTTTTTTTTTTTTCCTTGTAATAATTGTTTTTAAAATATTTTTATTAAAAATATATTAAAATAATATATTTTTAATTTTTTAAAATTATTTTTATTTCATCACATCAAAATAATCTAAAAATATAAAAAAATTAATTTTAAGTGATTTTTTAAATTTACCCAACCCCTTATTAGAATGCAATGTCAAACTAGAGAGTAGTGTTATGTCCCTAAATTTTTATTTATAAATATTTTTGTTTATGTTTTTAAGTTTTTTTTGATGTATTGATATAAAAATATTTTTTTAAAAAAATTAAAAAATATTATTTTAATATATTTTTGAATTAAAAATATTTTGAAAAGTAATTACTATTATATTCTGAGAAAATTAATCTAATTTTACAGTAATTACTATTATATTATGAGAAAATTAATCTAATTTTACAGTAATTGCTATTGTATTATGAGAAAATTAATCTAATTTTACAGGAATATTCATAAAAAGGGGCATAAAATTTATTGAATTGAACATTTTTCTGAAATTAGTGAATAATTTTGGTTAAAAATTTTAAAATATTTTCTTTTTGCTTTTGATTTTAAATTTTAGAAGCCAAGAAAATTAATCCAAACTAAAGATATCTTTGTTTCCCGAAAAGTAATTTCCGGGAAACCACTTTCTGAACTTTTCCATATTTGTTTGCTATTAGAAAAGTTGATCAACGGAAAATACTTTCCGATCAACGAAAAACACTTTCAAGTTAAAGAAAAATTTGGCTTGGTTTTCAGGAAAGTGTTTTTTTTTTTTTACTATGTTTGTTTTCCGGAAAGTGATTTTCGAGAAATCACTTTCTAAATTTTCTTATGTTTGTTTAACAATAGGAAAGTTGGTCAATGAAAAATTTGGCTTGGTTTTCAGGAAAGTGTTTTTCTAAAAAAATTGGGCGAAAAACACTTTCTGGAAGTTATGAAAAATTTAGAAATGTTATTATTTGCTGATTATATCAAATTTGATTTTTAAACTTTTAATTGCTATATATATATATTTTGTTTTGAATATTTATTTTTTAATTTCATCTCTTAAAATTTAATTTTTATATTAACTTTGGTCCTTATTTTTCTAATTACTATTTGTTTTTTTCTTATCATTTTTTTATTGAAATTTTTTATCTATCAAATTTAGTCCTCATTCTTTTGATTGTTACTTATTTTATTTGAAATAATTTATGAAATGTTGATTATTATTATTTTAATTTCTTCATCTTTTATTTTTATTAATTTTTTAGATTTGATATCTGTTATTTTGATTATTATTTATTTTATTTGAGATAATTTATGAAATTATATTTTTTTTCAATTTCATTCTCATTCAACTATTTAATTTGTAAGATTTGTTCCTTATTATTTTAATAAATTTGAAAAAAATAAAATATTAATAAGTTATTTTTCAGTTCATTTTTCATGATATAACCAAATACTAGAAACTATTTTCCAATTTGTTTTTCATTACATTATCAAATATCAGAAAGTTATTCACTTTTTTAAAATTTATTTTTCTAAAATTTATTTATTTATTTTTAAAATATTTTTCACCATACAAACGGGCTTAATAAATTTAACATATTGGGCTCATTCAACAGATCAAAGCTCGTAAAAAAAAAAAAACTCATTGACTAAAAAATTGGACTGGTAGGATTTCTAATTTTGTGTCTCTTCAATTAATTTGTCTCTTCAATTAATTTCAGAATCTGGAACGGGAAACAAGATACCTGTTATGCCCGTAGTTGTCACTTCAGCCATAATCCTTTTTTTCTTGGTAATGGGTATCATTTGTTGGAAATTCTATTTTCAAGACAAGTACAAGAGAGAACGAGGTACATTGAAATCAACAATCTGGGCTCTGATTCATGGACACCACAACGCCTTGACGGTGGCTAGTGGAGGAGGAGTGTGCGCTCCAAAACCAGAACTACAAGATGGTAATAGCAGATTGCTGACTAGCACTACCTATATGTATATATGTATATTCTAAAAACGATTGTTCATGACGAATATCTTACATGGAATTCCCTCAACACTTGTATATGCGCAGATCTCAAGGGGCTTGATCTGAAAACTGGCTCGTTCACTCTGAGGCATCTAAGAGCTGCCACAAACAATTTTGATTCTGCAAACAAGATTGGAGAGGGTGGTTTTGGGTCCGTGTACAAGGTTTGTCCTCTGATGAAACCCCATGCATAGAATCCCCAATGCAGTGATTGTCGGACCTGTTCTTTGAATCACTTATCTGCAGAAGGGAATATGAGCATTTTGGATGCATGGTTATTTTTTGCAGGGTAAGTTATCAGACGGGACTGTTATTGCTGTTAAGCAGCTATCTCCTAAATCCAGACAAGGAAACCGTGAATTTGTGAATGAAATAGGCATGATATCTGGTTTAAAGCATCCCAATCTTGTAAAGCTTTATGGATGCTGCATTGAAGGAGACCAGTTGCTGCTTGTATACGAGTACATGGAAAACAATTCCCTTGCTCGCGCACTGTTTGGTAATCACCTTTAGCTCGTGCATTCTTTGGTAATCGTAATAGTTTTTGCCATTTCTTACTGGGTTTTAGCAACAGCTGCAGAAACAAGTGCTCTTATGTTGGATTGGCCAACAAGATTTAAGATATGTGTTGGGATAGCCAGAGGCTTGGCGTTTCTCCATGAAGGATCAGTAATCAGGATTGTTCACCGAGACATCAAAGGTACAAATGTGTTGCTGGACAAGGATCTAAACGCCAAGATATCAGACTTTGGACTAGCTAAGCTCAGTGAAGCGGAGAACACTCACATTAGCACTCGAGTTGCTGGAACTATGTAAGCACCTTATCGTTAGTTTTCTAATGATTTAGTTATCGATCGAAAAAGACCTTACACACACTGAAGTAACTCACCTGGCATACCTTTTGATTTCAGAGGATACATGGCTCCAGAATATGCACTGTGGGGTTATTTATCAGACAAGGCAGATGTTTACAGTTTTGGGGTTGTTGCTTTAGAGATTGTCAGTGGAAGAAGCAATTCAAGTTACAATCCAACAAACGAAAGCGTTTGTCTTCTTGACTGGGTAAGTTACGAGTCTGCTTGTGTTGCTACATTGAATTCATGATGCATTAGGCATTACTAGCTAGCTAGCTCTTACACACTCTAAATGAACTTATCTGTCACAGGCATTTGTATTGCAAAAAAGAGGGAATTTAATGGCGCTGGTGGACCCAAAGCTGCGGTCTGAATTCAACAAGGAAGAGGCTGAAAAGATGATCAAGGTGGCTCTCTTATGCACCAATGCATCTCCATCTCTAAGGCCTACAATGCCAGCAGTGGTGAGTATGCTTGAAGGACAGACCAGCATCCAGGAAGTGATCTCAGATCCTACCATATACGGTGGTGGTTCTCAATTTAAACACGTCAAATATGACCACTTTCAACAGGTTGCAGACCAGAGCTGCAGCACCCAAGACCACGTTTTTTCATCTGATAAAACATGGAATATATCCACCTCCACGTCTGCCCATGATCTTTACCCACCCAGTCCCGAGTCCACGCATTGTAACATTAGTGAATCTTCTTCATCTTGTGTTTAACAAAGCCGAGATATGCATGTATATTTGGAACTTCTTTTACATTTATAATATAGAAGAAACACATTTCATTCCCGCTGACCTCACGGTTGAACAGTGATGGGGCCAGGCAATCGCCCCCCTGCCCCTAGAAAAAAAACATTATTCTTTCTAGGGTATATATGGTAATAATTTGCAACTTCGTAAACAAATTATATCGAATATATATATATATATATATATATATATATATATATATATATATTTGACAGCAGTTTAAATTGTTAAATGTCAACAATTTCAGACTTATACCGTAGAGGACCAGAGGTGGTGGTGGTGGCAGAAAAAAACTCTGTTATCATTGTAATCGGAGTGAGTCTCGCAAAGAGGAGGGAGAAAAGAAAAGAAAAAGATTTTGAAGATATATTGAAATTTCAATGAAAATATAAACAGTATTATTATAAAATTTTTAACAAATTAAATCTAACAACATAAAAAATATCATTAATAATAATTAAAGTAAGCTATACAAACATTCTAAAAAAGATTCTAAAAAAGATATGTGACTCAATTATTTTTGAACTATTTATATTACCCATTTTAATTATTATTAATGATTTTTTTAATATTATTTAATCTTTCTTGTTTATATTTTTTTAAAAGTATTAGTAATGTTATTATCAAAAGTTTTTATTTTATTTTTTCTTTCATATATTTATTGTTTTTATTGTAATGTAATTTATATAAGGCGATTTAACAATCGCAAAAAGTTATTAATTTTATAAATAATTTTTTGGGTTGTGATATTTTTTTACTTTGCTAATGTAAAAACAAAAAAATCCCAAGTTTGAATACAAATTTCTTCCTATCCGGTGAAAAATTCTTTATTATTATTATTATTATTATTATTATTACCGGAGGTATGACACCCCTAACTGTAAGTAAATAGTGACGTTATCCACTTGAAGCTTGTTGCTTTTCCCATGCCTGAACCCCTTCCTTCCTATGCTGTCGCGCAATCATATGTCTTCATATAGCATGCCACAGCAGAACTGTGAAAAAGGAATTTCACATTGAAAGCGGGAAATTCCTCGTACGTGGATCTGTTTTGCTAATATCTGACACTAAATTAGCAAATAGTTTAGCATATTTACCTGCTTGTAGCCGCGGGACCAATTAAAATTATATATTTTTCGATCTCTTTTATGTATTTATAATGGTAAATGTATGTATTTTTCTCGTGAAAAATAAGATTTTCAATTAAAAAATTAATAAAATTAAATTATTTTACTAAGATAACTACTTCTTTTGATGAACAATCTTCGAAAATGCCATATGCATCTTCATCTCGACTCCCTACATCATATGAGACAGCATTTGATGACCTTCCTGTAGACTTGTTGCCAGAACGAACACGGGGAATGAGGCAAGCGACAGCCTTGGCCTTTGCAAAATCGTCAGCTGAGTAAGGGACATTGAATCAAGGAGCCTTCATCTTACTTTTCCCTTCAAGAATCTTTACTACTTCAGACATAGCTGGCCTCAGAGTAGGGGATGGATTGGTGCATAGCGTTGCCAAGTCTAAGATTATCATTTCTTGTTTCACTGAATAATCATATCCCAAGACTGGATCGACTAGCGATATTAACTCTCCTTTCTCTTGCAAAACATAAGCACAACAAATAAAATATGAAACTTCTTAATCAATGGAGAAATGCCTTCCCTTTGCTCTATATGTCTATAAACTCTTACCAGATGAGTACCCTATCATCTTTACATATGCGGCTGACAACTAACTACAGTAGCAACCACTTAGCATGATCAACTCCTTTATACAAGATGCCACAAGATCTTGACAGCACATGAAAATAATAGTAAGCTAACTTTAATTACCAAATCAAGCAAGCAGGCACTCTCATCATTTGGCCTGTAACTGGTGCCATTTTTACCACCGACAATTTCCAAGGCAACCACCCCAAAGCTGTAAACATCTGCCTTGCTTGTTAAATAACCTCGCATGGCATATTCTGGGGCCATAAATCCCTCTTCGGAAATACCATAAGTTATGGAGATGTAATTCCTTAGGACAATAAAGATTTCAATATGTTTCAGAAAAAAAAAAATCTCCGTAAATTTACTGAGATAATGTTTTTCCCGCAAAATAACAATCCTTAGAGGTATGGAAAGCTTTAACTGGTTCCGGCAATTCTAGTGATAACAAGTGTATGTTCTGCTTCATAGAGTTTAGCCAGTCCAAAATCTGATATCTTTGCATTGGATCCTTGTCAAGTAGCACATTTGTGGGCTTAATATCTCCATGTACAATACTCAGTTTGGATTCTTCGTGGAGAAATGCCAGACCTCTAGCTATGCCAAGGCAAATTTTAAACCTGGTTGGCCAGTTGAGTCTTAATTTCAGTTATTCAGGTCCTGCACCTAACCATATACTTGCATTACTTAGGATTGTATTATTATAACGACAGTAGGATATTTTGATGCTCCATATTCAAAAACTCTCCGAGTTCCTTGCTTCGATTTCTAAGACAGTTTTTTGACAGCTATTTGCTGCTCCATTTGGAAGAACTCCCTGCAATCACTTCACTTATTAGGCAAACCTGTATAATCTCGAGGACTTTCTAAGCAAATATGTAGTGGCATAGACCTTAAAAACAGGTCCACATCCTCCTTCACCAATCTTGTTTGAAGGACTAAAATTTTGAGTGGCAGCTTTTACTTCCCGGAAGTTAAAAGAACCTGCTGGTATGAGTTCGACACAATTTAATTCTGCACCACAACATCAGTCATCAAACACGAACTCACAAGGAAAAAGATCTTGTAAACAGGAGGAGTTACAAACTTTGGGAAGTCTAAAGTCAAAACAGACTCCAAACAACGTACATTCTCACCTTCACTCTGAGATTATCCTTTGCCACCTAACCAGCCCATTTGGCAAATGGAAACTGCAACCAGTAGTGGCAAAAGTAAAGCAGAGCCTCTAAGTGTAGCAATACTCATTGCTGATGGTTTTCTGCCAGATTTTCTTGGAACTACAGGAGAGAACTTAACAGGATGTTAAAGAAAAGAAACTAAATGTGACAGCATAAATAAATTTTTTGAGACAGCTGATAACCAGGAGAAACCGAAATGGCAGATATAAGAGGACCATAATACTCCATTGGAGAACTAATCGAACCCTTTCCAGACCAGTATAAGTGGATATCCAGTCGGTTGTTCTTCACAGTAGCAATAAAGTCCAAAGTTACACTTCCATTTATTCCCTTTGCTGCTTCTCTTATATTGAAATTTTCTTGCACCTTCTTGTCCTATCAGAATTTCATACTTCATTAGAGCAGTTCCAGAGAATAGCACCCTGAATATATGAATTGATTACTCACTTGAATTGCCACATCAAACTGGCGTTTCCCCTTACTGCTAGGATCTCTATTTTCGCCGTATTCTATGTCTGCAAAGTGAAGCTTCGCTTTGTATTTACCATTTTTCATACAAAATCCATAATACTTCAAGGACACGGGGGATGCAGGAGCTGTCTTGTATAAAGGTGCATCATCACTGGAAATTCCACATAATGGTTTCTCCACGTCCACGGTGTACTGGTTATGATTTGTTCCAAGGAATATCCCCATACTACTCAAACCCCAACTTTTATCTTCACTTTGAAAAAAGGTTGATCCGCCATCAGGTTGTGAATCAGCTTCGTAGTGAATTCCATTAGCTGCAACGCATCGCTGTTACCATATATAATCTTAAAAATGTATACAATTTAGGACTCTTAATATTAACTATAAAGATCATCTTATCATAGATAGATGCTGATTTTTAGGGAATGGGGGAGACTCCTTGTATAGCAAAATAACCTTCTATGTAGACTCCTCGTATGGAAAAATAACCTGCGATGTACAAGAGGCTTTTTCTGCCGAGTGCAGGGGTGGAAGAATTCTGCAAAGTTAATGAATTGATTACCTCACTTGATATTCTAGTTTTCGCTTGAGTTTATTAACAATCACCACCGGAATTTATATAGAGGTGATCATCTTCAAAGCACAATGCATCTGCTAAGAACTCCGAGATTTATAAATGGACTTGGTTTTCAGTAAGCATCAGTTCCTTTTGAAGGGAAGACATGATAAAACTAAAAGCAGAAGTACAATATACTCAATGATATATCACTGTGGCTAGGGTAGTCATTTCTCTGTCATGCCATGCTCCTACAGGAAGAAAAGAATTGCATAAGGTATAACTGCAGTCTACAGAATTCATTGAGTTAGACAAGGCACAAAAAAAAACTTACAGATTTGATGCCTCGGAACAGCAAGCAAGAGTGTTTCTGATAAACATTTGGACATAGTACAAATCAATATGTATTTTACTAATAAAAGATCCTGCATAAAAATCCTTCCTAGTGTAATAGGGATGAAGATATCGAAATGCGAGGAGTTTAGCTGACATGTTTTTCTTACATATTCGAGGAAATGCCTCCCTGATGCGTTGGCGCACTACTGAAACTATTTTCTGAAATGTCTCTGCAATTTGTACACAAATAAGAAGCATGGTTTCAACAAATCCATAAAAAGAAAAAAAGGGAGTTCAAGAGGTTCAATTCCCTCTAGTGTTTTTGCTGGAAGTCAATTTCTAATCATCTTTACCGGAAAATAGTGGATTGCAAATACGAAGACATACACATGCAACTGTTGAATCAGCGAGTCATCTGGGGAATGATCCATTGAACTTATTTCCTCTAATGTAGCTGAAAGCAAAGGTAGAATAGATCAATCCTTGATGTGATGTAAATAAAGCGATTCTAAATGACACGCAACTTTTGAATCAGCGAGTCATCTGGGGAATGATCCATTGAACTTATTTCCTCTAATGTATCTGAAAGAAAAAGTGGAATAGATCAATCCTTGATTTGATGTAAATAAAGCGATTCTAAATTACATTATCAATAACTTTCATACAGAATATTTGGGAGCATATGCAGAGGTAGCTTCCTTACATGTACTTGAGTCGTTGATTGTGACTGAAGTTTGGATTTCACCTGTAAAATTGTTGAAGCTCAGGTCCCTAGGCAGAAAAATAAGAATCAAGTCAAGATATGAGATCACTGAATTGACATAAAATGATGACAAAATGAGTTCTGCACTTCTGATGAATGAAAAGGAGACCTGGTAGCAAATATTGATGGCATGTACATTAAAGTAAACAAGCAACCAGATTTTGTATTCAGTAACATAATAAACTTACAGATAATATGGGGATATCATTTGAAGAATGAATTCAGGTATTCGACCAGTTATGGAACAATTCCTCAATGTGCTGGAATGATTAAGAAGTTTTGAATAAGAAGGCTTTACATCCACTAAAACAATAAATATGGAAATAGACTGCAGAACACTCACAGCCATGTCAAAGATGTCATTCCAGATAAATTTGGAAACGGAAAATCCATCCCTTCATTGTTCTCTATGTCAGCTGCATACCTGGTGCAAACAAGATCTTGAGTCATGGAATTTTACTTGCATGATTACGAGTTCCACGAAGATTTGAGTTGAGCACATGGGGAATTTCAGTGTGGTGAGGTTTAATGATGATAATGCATCAGGAAAAGGCCCTTCAAAACTGTTTCCCATCAGTCCCCAGGAACCATTATATTCAACAGGAAAATAGCAGCATCAGGATTGTTTAGAGTGTGGACATTCAATCAGCAATCATATACACATAAGTGGCTTACAGAACCGTAAGATTCTCCCTATTAGCAATATACTCTGGTATCTTGCCTGAGAAGTTGTTTCCAGTAATGAATCTACAGAAACAAGAGTTTCACCTTTTTAGTATTGACTTGACTCACAGAAAATATATAGCAAAAAGGGTTGAAAACCATCACTTACAGATTGACCATCTTCTCAAGTGCTGCAAAGCTTTTAGGCAATTCACCACTAAATTCATTGTTAACAAGGCTACCCAGCTCGTGGGGAATGACACCTGAGAGATGATTATCTGACAAATCTCTACATTAAAGAAAATCAAAATGTTAATTAAAAGTAAAAAACCTCAGCTGTGCTTATGTAAAGTGGGACGTAGATAATAATAATACAGTAGGACAAGGGTGGTAATATTCCCAAATTCTGGTGGAATTCCTCCTGATAGTAAGTTGTCACTCAAGTACCTGTAAGACGACATGGACAAGTTAGAAAAAAAATAAATGTTAAAACACACGAATTGTTTCTGTTGCAGAATTATATGGTTGGCAGGCAGGCATGCATGCACTTAACAGAGCCTGTAGAAGTGGGAGGGAAGCAAGAACTGGTGCTGGAATTGAGCCGTTGAACCAGTTTTCTGATAAATCTCTGTGGTGGGAAAATGTAAGTTGGTAGAGCAAAATCAATATGCGTAGAAACAAATGGTGGCATGGATTTAACTTTGGACTTACAAGTGATTCAAAGACTAGGTGTCACCAATGACATGAGGTATTGGTCCTTCTAGGTTGTTCTGGCGAAGTACTATGTATTCTATAATTTTAAGAATATTAATTGGTGAACAAATATAAATACGAAGACTGCTTGTGCATGTGCAAAAGAGAGCTCAAGCTTAACAGTACTTTCTTTCATCTACCTAAAAAACAAGACGTCTTTCCTTCGCGAAAATGAAAATGGAAGTTGATTGTTGATTACCGTCGCCGTGGTGCAATGTTTGGGCATGCTTCTAGTGACCCGTGATTGTGTGCCGAAAGCAGCAAGAAGAACAGAAAGACATCCAACAATCCCATGAACGCAGTCTCCTATCTCTCTCAAAATCTGTTTCCTTTGATTCTAATCTTTCCTGTTTTATAAAAGTACAAAATTACTAGCTATAAATGCAATTAAATATTGACAAATTACTCACAATTTGATTATAGAGGGTAGAAAACAATGGTAAGTGCTTCATGTGACACACATTATCACTAGTGAACATCTGAAGTCGAGGCTACCAAACACAAAATCCCAAGGTAATGCACCACCTTCAATTGTAACATGCGCCACCTTGACAATGGTCTTCTTCAAGATTTTGGGTCAACTACAATAGTCTTCTCTATATTTCATTGGTCTTTTCTTGCATTCCGCTGCCTTTTTTGTCCAATTCGAAGTCTAAACCATGATGGTACTGCTGAGTGGCGACTCTGAAATCCTCGGTTATCATTTTGGATAAGAAATTGGCACTGCTTTCTTATGCTAACCACTAAAAGTGGAAGCATTAAGCTCCAAAATGGCATGCGGTCATTATGTTCATGGAGTGTGGTGGATGACCCAATATCTAAAAAACCAAAAATGATTATGCTCTTATAGCCCACATCAAATGTAAATTAAGATAATTCTATTAACTGTTCAACCCGCGGTGAGATTTAGGTTTCAGTTTATATACACACACCAGAATGATTGACTTGCTCTACGTTATTGTAGGTGAAGTTGCAGGTGAAGTCAAGTTTTTCTTAAATATAAAAAAAATATTTAAGTATTGATAATATTTTTACTTAATGAAAAAAAAATTGTATGAGAATTTCCTTGATTTAATTCAGTTGATTTACTGGTCCAAAAACAATCCATATAACTTATAAAAACAAATTTTAACTAAATAAAATTTTAAAAGATATTTTTTTTTAATATTAAAATAATAATATATTGGATTTATATTGAATAACTTGGTTTACATCTCAAATTCATAATCTTAATTATAAGACTATAATAAATCTATAGAAAATAAATCAAAATAAATTATTGTCAAATTCATAATCTTAATGATAAGACTATAATAAACCTGTAGAAAATAAATCAAAATAAATTATTAAGTCTAATTCTCAATCAATTTAATATTAAAAAATAAAATTAAAAATAATTTTAAAAAACAACCCGGCTTAACATATTAAACTTATAACCCAGATCATAAAAATAAACAAAGTTATTGCTGCATATAATCAATAAGTACAAAGTATATATATTAATAAAAAAATGATGCAAATATTTTTTTTTAAAAAAACCCAGCTATTCAAGCCTGTCCTAAGTTGTAGTGATTTTTCATCCTAGTTGTTTGGGCCAGTTTCAAGCAGCCAGGGGATTTTTCCTCCAAATTGCTTGGATTAGAGCTAAAAGATATGGTTTTTCATTTTAGCTACTAGGGCAAGATACAAGAAATAAAGAGGTTTTTCCCAGTTGTTTGGGCTAGGCCTAAATAAAATGGGATTTCTCCTACCAGTTACCTAGAACAAGCCCAAACAGCTAGCTTTCTTCTGTGAATCCCAAAACCATATAATTTTTAATGCTAGTGCACAAAACTAAAGTATATTATGAGCTGCAAGAAGTGGCGCCCTACATTACCATTAGCACACACTTGCGCACCTTCAGGCACAAAAATTATGCATGGTATTGCCAATTAACACTAACTAATGCCAGCACCAACCTCTCCACTAATGGTATAACTCAACTATACACACTATATATATGTAACTTCACATATCATGAGGTATCTAGAACGCTACTTTTAATGCTCCATGAGGTAATATGATGTAATCAAGGTTTATATATAACTTGGTCACCATGTAGGAAAGGCCAAGCAAAAGCAAGTCAGGTCAGGCAAATTCAAGCCATTAAACATGTTTGTTCATAACACAGGAGCTCCTGCGCCTCTCTATGTGTTTTTCTCCATCTTCTCATATTATTTCTGTTTCTAAATATATATATTTTTAAATTTAGTAGCTTCAATATTATTTAATAAAAATGAATGACTTATTATTATTATTAATATTGAAAATGAATTATATAAAATATACAATGTAGAAATTTTTAAAGATAATCTAAACTTCTATTGATTTAAAATAATTGATATAGCAAGTTTGGGAGAAAAAAAACTAGAGTACTTGGGAATACCTTTAGAATGAAAAAGAAAAAGAAAAAGAAAATGCACGCAAGTCAAAAGAAGATAGGTAGGTTGTCCAAAAGAGAATTTTGAAAAGATGAGCGCAGATGGAGACGAGACGAGGATCTAAAACTAAAAGGAGACCGGTCAACTCACAACATCCTCTCTTGCCCGAACACAAACACCCACAAACGCAACGCGTTTTTAGCCCATTATTACAGTCAAACAACAGAAATAAATCAAAATTCAAGAAATGCAAATCTAATCCATAAATAAATACTAATCCAACTACTACAAAGATTTCTCATTTATGCCAAAAAAATAATTTTTATTAGTTGATAAAGATGAGCTTGAGTTCTGATGCTTTGACTACTACTCTCTGCAACTCCATTCAAGCTTTGGGTCGTGGCTTTGATGTTACATCTGATATAAGGCTTTTGTATTGCAAAGGAGCTACTGGGTCTAGTTTGGTTCATATTGATGATGAACATACAAGAGATCTTGATATCTCTCATGGGGTTGTGCTGCCTAATGTTTCTTGTGATATTGATTGCTCTAAAGAGAAAAGAAGCATTGAGAGAATTCCTGTTTGCTCCTTTCATGAGGTGATTTTTTTTCCTCTTCTTTTCAATCATTATCTGGTCATTTTTTCTTATGTTAGGCTGAGCTTTTTGTGATTTGGTTAGTCCTAAAATTTATGTTCATCGCATGCCACCTTGTCCTTGTTGGGATTTTAATGTCTGAGTTATTCGATTCTATGCTTTGTTGCTCTTGAAGTCCAATGTTGAAAGATTATAGCTTTTCTTGTGTTAAATGTTCTTGAACTCAGAAATATGTTGTTCTAATTTTGTTGGCAGGCGCAATTCATATATGCCTAGCTAATCTGGAAAAGTGAGTTAGAATGGACCTTTCCCCCCCTTCCTCTAGCCCATCACTGCATTGATGATTTAATTTCGGATGAGGTTACCGAAAATGCAAATTTAGGAAGTCAGTTTGAGAAAAGTTTTCATTTTTTAGTTTTCTCATAGCAGGCTTGATAAATTAAATTAGTGTGATGCCTAAAGAATAACAAAATTTTGTTCATATTCGGGAGCCAATCAACTTGAGGTTTTAGATCATTTCTCCGTGATACTTATTTTTTCAACTTCTGGTTGTGTGCATGCAGCGAATTTATATGGCTAATAATAAAATATATTCACGTTACTGTGATGTGAAACCAAAAATAAGGATTATTGATGTAACTGCTAAATTCTTAGAGATTGTGGCGTAACTTTTATGCCCAGTATCTTGGCCACCTTTAAACCAAGGGTCATTTACGTTTTTTCTTAGTTTATGGAGACCTTTTCATTTTTACATTTCTGTAATTTCTGCGATGTTGTGATTTCAAGAAGAAATTCTATCATGTTCATGAAAAGTCCCAAGTCATGTATGAATGTTCTGTTGGAATTGTTTTGATTTATTGAGGTGGTTGTATTCATGGATTTTGATAAACACTTTGTGTTCAAAGCTTGGGCTCAACACAAGGCATCCTCTGCATGCATTTCTTTCCTGGTGAAGGGGCCAAATGACCCAAGAACTAAACAACTAAGCTATGCTTTACAAGCTCAAAGATGATGAACTCTTCGATTTGGAATATTGATGGTATATAAATGCATATGAATATATTAGTGAAGAAGAGTAGATTGAAATGCTAATATTTTTTCCAATGTGTTGAAGGTGCTTATTCTCTCTATCATTACCATCACCATTACTGATTTCCAGTCTGGATCTAGATTTTATCATGTTTTTTCAAGCTTTCTGGTCTTTAATCATCTTTGGTGTTCATGGTGAATCATTTCTGCAGAAATTTATATTTATTGATCAGTGGTTCTCAGATTCTTTACTCTATATCTATTTATTCCATTGATGGACCTTAATGATTTCACTCTTAAGGTGACTATAAATAAAACGTCATAATTTATGGGCTGGATCAAATAGCATGTCATTATTTTTTCGTATAGTTTTGTTGTTAGACTCTCGTAATTGTTTTCATCAATGTTATGGCTTTTATTGCTGTTTGTGTTCATGGTGAATCATTTCTGCAGAAATGTATATTTATTGATCAGCATGTCCTTTTTTATAGTGTTTTTTTTTGGTCATCATCATTATTATTGCAGTGAAGTTTCTATTTATAGTTGAATTACTAATGTAGTGAAATGTGATGTTCAAAATATGCTTATTGCTTGAATTTTCAGATGGCAGGACTATTCAATGAAAAATCAGGTATATCAGGACGAATTCCTCTCGGAAGCTTTAATGGCATGTTCAATTTCACTGGCTCTTGGCAAGTTGATGCTGCTGGAACAAAATCTCTTGCAATGGTTGGGCATTTCATTCCGTTGTATAAAGTTCAGATAGCCAAAGTTAACTTAGTTTTGCTTGAGGAAGTCAAGCGTGCTGTTCCTTCCTCCTGGGATCCTGCATCCTTGGCAAGGTATTTTGTTGTGGCTCTCATTGCTTATAGAAAAGAACTTAACAAAAATTTATAATGTAATACTTGAGTTTGCTGGTGTTGAAACCTGTCATGCTTTACTCACCTATAGTGCTATTAAAGAGCATCATCATAACTACAATAAATTCATCTGTTAGAATCCCTTGATCATATCAAATAGTTTGGAAGCTTCAGCTTTTTGATTGGTATCTGTGGTTTTATCTACTTTTCCAGCTTCATTGAAAGCTATGGCACCCATATAGTCACATCTGCAACAATTGGTGGACGGGATGTTGTTTATATCAGGCAGCACCAAGCTTCTCCTTTGTCAGTATCCGATATTGAGAACTATGTGAAAGACATTGCAGATCAAAGGTTTCAAGACTCAACAAGTACATCAATTGCTGCCCCCTTGAAATATAAGGACAAGGTTAGTGTTATGGAATTGCTCCCTTATTTGTTTAACTAAACCATGCCATCAATTGATGGCTTTCATCGGTTCACCCAGTCTTTTCATGACACAGCCTCTAATCTTATTACATTGCATATTCTTGTCTCATTCACTTGCGGTTTCTTTTCCTAAATTAATTTTCTACTCTGAAGTTACTGAAATGTTTACAAGTTAAATTCCTTGCTGTAGGATGTAACAGTGATTTTCAGAAGGAGAGGAGGTGATGATCTTGAACAGAGTCATGCCAAATGGGCAGAGACTGTGCAATTGGCACCAGATGTGATTAACATGACCTTTACACCTATCGTGTCTCTCCTTGAAAGAGTGCCTGGAATAAAGCATTTGGCCCGGGCAGTTGACTTGTATTTGGAGTGTAAGTTCTAATCCCATAGCCATGTTCTATTTTGTGGTTTGAAATTCAAATTTGATTTTAATTTATAATATATTTGATTTGGTCAAGGATTTTTAAACAAAACCTTCGTTGTCATGATTAATTATTATTTTTTTCTTTTCTAAAGCCTCATGCAAATCTTGAGCAAGAAGTTTTTCAATAGCCTGGATGATAAGGTTTTTATTTTGTTGCACTTGCAACAAGGGTGAAAAATTAATGTAGTAGAAGGTTATTAACCTTTTCTTAAAGCTCAATCTTCTGACCAACAAAGTCTTAGAAATGATTTGGGTATGATCTAAGTGAAAATTGCGCTGTTTAATTTTGCATATTCCTTGCGAAGATAATCTGAAATATTATCTAACATTAAAGTTACTGATTTGAATAATTTAAAATGTTAGACATTCATAGTTGTGATCACACCAGCAGTAATGCAATGGATTCCATTGTATCTTTGAAGTGTATAAATGTGCTCAGGCCAGTGTAGAACTAGAATGAGTAATCTTCTATGAAGTACTTGTGTTGCACACGAACTTGTAAAAAATCTCGACATTTCTAGTGAAATATTTTTTCTTGTGTTTTTCCCTTTATCAGACAAGCCACCTATAGAGGATTTGCAGTATTTCTTGGATTTTCAAATTGCTAAAGGATGGGCTCCAGAGCAGAATAATCTTCTAAGAAAGGAGCCTGTTTGTCAATCTCTTCAGTTCAGTCTGATGGGTCCCAAGCTGTATATAAGCCCAGATCAGGTATGTTTTCGAAGTGTATCTTCTTCACATGGTAATGGAAATTAATGTTGAATTGATAGCATGCGATACTAAGAAAGTCAAGGATAGTAGCTTCATAAATAGTTTGTAATATGTTTTCTGTTGTCATTTTTGCATCTCATGCATCCTTCCTTCAAAACCGCAGTTTTAAAATTACTCGAATTCGAATTCTTAATCCTGTGACGATCACTCATATCTTAAAAAAGGAGTAGTTCCAGCAGCAAACTAATTGTAAATTGTCATCCATAATATAGCTGAACTATAAAAATTACAATTTCCCCTAATTTGTTTGTGGTGATGGATGTTGGATTGAGGTTTTGAGAACTTAAGTACAGCTTAAAGAACAATACTTTTCATAATAGTAAGCCTTGAATAGAAAGCTTTACCAATAACAGTGTTACTATTTACACTAGCACCTAAAAAGCAAGTGCCGCTGGTGGACTTGCGTCTTTCTAAGGTGTATCAAGATCAGATAAAATGAAATGAGTGTAAGTTGTAAATACATAGAATTTCATTGTGTTTTTCTTCATATGGCGGAAAATTTCTCTCACTTGATGTAAAACGACTTTTTTCAATAAGACCATCAGGATTGCAACACCATCACCTTTTGTAGTTGCACCATTTTTAAACAAGATCCAACAAACAAAATGTAACTTGTACTTAAAACCTCTCTACAAGTACTAATACTAAACTTTAGATTAGGAGGAGACTTGTGAAGGAAAACAACTTATAAACGAAGGACCTTAGATTAAAAATTAGGTAAAAAAGAGTTGAAATTATGCAAAACATGTATAGAAAAAACCAATCCCAAAACACTCCTTTTCAATCCCTTTTATAAATGATTTTGGAACCAAAATTGATCTAGAATTAATTCTGGCAATTATCTAATTAACTTTTTTCCATCATCTGCTTTGATTACTCACCATATAACCAGAATTAAACACTTTTTGGATTTAAATCATATGTTTTTGAGATTAAAAAACAGTTCAGGTTTGCAAAAAAACCTTCTAGAAGAAAACTAATTAAATCTTATTATTAAAGGGTTGGACTAGACAAAACAATGAGCTAATAAAAATGAATTCTCTAATGGCCAAATAATTATAAATCCAAACCTAAGTCTAGAATAGATTGGCAAAAAATAATCTTTTGTATCCTAAAAATTTATTTAAAAATAAACTCATTACTAGGGCTAAGTGCGAGCTGAGTATACATGTGGGTTTAAGCTCAAAATCCACTTTCCTTATGTTAGTTCCTCTCTAAAAGCTTGAGGTGCTATTTTGATCTATTTTTAATTCTTCCCAATCCTACTAAGTGTGTGTTTAGTATTGTGGTGCATGATGCTTTTCAAAAATATTTTTCAATTGAAAATACATCAAAATGATTTTTTTTCAGATTTGTTTTTTAATTTTTTGACATTAGCACATCATAACTATTCAAAAACACCTAGAAAAGCATCAATTTGATGCTTTTTCAAGTGAAAAACAATTTGAAAAACACTTTGAAAAGCAAGTTGTAACACAAAAACAAACACTTGCTGAATAAACCACTAAGAAAGTTTGTTTCTTTTCTATATAGGATAAAAGCTTTTAGAAGGTTTTGGATATCTTCAAAACATGTCAATTAAAAGTTTTTGAGATCAATTTGTCATTCACCCATAATAATTTAAATCATGTTAATGTTCTATAGTAAAGAATTTATGTTGGAAGTCAAAATTCAAATTAAGTTTTAACCCAAAAATAAGAGGACCTCACTTTTAATTTAGCTTCAAACATGTCCGTTAACCATTATCTTAAACAAAATTTCAACATGCACTCTTTTGACAAACCCTGCCAGCACGAGCTTCAAATACAGGTTTTCTTTTCTACAGAAGTCTAAACATTTATGATGCTGCAGGTAACAGTTGGCCGTAAGCCAGTTACTGGTCTAAGACTTAGCCTAGAGGGCATTAAGCAGAACAGACTTTCCATCCATTTGCAGCATCTTGTATCTCTTCCAAAAGTTCTTCAACCCCATTGGGATGCATATGTGGCCATAGGAGCCCCCAAGTGGCAAGGTCCTGAGGAGCAAGACAGCCGCTGGTTTGAGCCTATCAAGTGGAAGAACTTCTCCCATGTAAGCACTGCACCGATAGAGTATGCTGACACTTCCATTGGAGACCTCTCTGGTGTTCATATTGTGACAGGGGCTCAGCTTGGTGTTTGGGATTTTGGTGCCAAAAATGTGTTACACCTTAAACTCCTATTTTCAAAAGTTCCAGGTTGTACAATAAGGCGTTCTGTATGGGATCATAGCCCCTCCAACCCTTCTGCGCAGAGAACCAATGGTGCATCCTCATCTGTTCCAAATGAGAAACCCTCTAACGATAAGAAAGAAGATGGCCATGTTGGCAAATTGGCAAAAATTGTCGACGTGAGTGAAATGTCAAAGGGGCCACAAGACGTTCCAGGTCATTGGCTGGTAACAGGAGCGAAGCTTGGGGTGGATAAAGGAAAGATTGTTTTGCGTGTCAAGTACTCATTATTGAATTATTGATTGATTGTTTTTTATTTTAGGATTGCCCTTTATCACATGTAAGCATAGTTGAATATTCTTTGCACAGGCATCCCAGTTCATTTGTTCTTCTGTACATTGTGTTCTTTTTTCTTCGTTGTTTTAGCTCCCTTAGTTGATAGTAACCTGATTTAGTGTGAGAGGGGTTCTTTTCTTCTAAATCTTGTTCCCATTTTTGTTTGGTAAAACACATGTCTGTTCAGACCTATAATAATAAACTTGTTTTTAACTGATATGAAGTTCTTCGTCCATTTTGAGGTCTTCAATACAGCTTTTGGGCGTTCTTAATTTGTTTTGTTAATGTTTTTCGACTGTCGCTTCGTTTTGATAAATCTCCGTCTTATACCTCTCGCGTGGTCTCAGGTTGCCTTTTCCTTTGTGAACTCGTTTGAAGACTCTAGACAGGTACGCTAAACTTGAAAGCAGCGGCAAGTTTTCGTTTTTGGACCCTACCTGAAAATCCTTCACAGCCAAAACAAGGCCAGGAGACAGAGAGAATGAAACAGCAGCCACGTCAACATCATGAATTCCATATTATTTTCCCCATTTTTTTCTTTATCTATTCAAGTGAAAGATTAGTTGCCGATTTGTACACTAAAAACATTAACAGTTCTTTGAAAGGAAGCATTTATTTATCTGAAAATTGCAATAGAAAATGTGGCATTCCGGCCTAATGCGAGATACCATTTGACCTGGTATGAAAGGAATCGTGAAGAAAAAACAGCTTCAACAGTAGCCAAAATGCTTTAGCCGGCAATGAAAGCAATTGACAACGAGTGGTTTTGCCTTACACCTTGACTAAATCTATAGTTTAACTGTCAAAATGCAGGATGATAGAATCAAGGGTTTGTTTGAATTCCGTTTTCCGTTATTCTAACATCTATTGTTTCTAGCGCAGAGAGTTTCCATCATCGCATGAACTTCTGCCTTGCAGCAATTAAGTATCATATAAACACTAGCTGCTCAAATTTCTTCACTGACAGGAGACAGACATACATGCGTCCAAAAACTAGAATCTCAAAGAGAATATGAAGTAGTTTATATGCTGGCACCTTTTTGGACGACGCCCGAATTCTTTATGCTTGTAGTTGTCATAATTGCTTCTCCTGAATGTCTGGACTCAAAGGAAAAGCTCAACTTATTCCTATTTTATTTTTTCTATATATAAATGTCCCTTGTTTATCACTATATCTTCATTTTTCTTGCGCTGCAGTTTGTAATCGGCAATATTAATTAGAAGAAAAGGCGCGGCCACAACTAAACAAACAAGAGTGATGCACTGCAGCCCCAATAAGAAGTGGTCAAAACTACTTACATCATAAGAAGAGGAATTCTAAAGCTTATAGTACATGCATTTATAGCTCTATCGTAGCTTATACCAAGCTGGTCTCTATATTTAGCTACTTGTGTGCACCAGGCGGCAGCAAATTAAACACTCCTGTGAAGCTAGAAAAAATATGGTACCTTGTTCTTTGAGTCTTTCTATTCGTGTCATCTCCCGTTCATTTAACAGTCTTAATACTTCACTGCTTACTATTTTTTGCTCTAATGCAGGAGAAACTTGAGTTTGTTGAAGGAAAGGTGGATTGGAAGGGAAGACAGGCTCTAAAGAATAAACATGGAGGATTATGGACCTCTTTACTTATACTAGGCATGTATCCTATCTTCATACTAAGAAAAATATGGATGTGATAATAATATAAATTATATTTTGAAACTTCACTTAATCATTTAAATTTTTAAATTTTTGGGTTGGGGTAAATCTTCAACAACGGAAGATGAAATCAACGTACAACAACGATCCCAAACATCACCTAATAAATATAGATGAAAAAAATCGTTAAATTGAATACTGAAGTCATCACTTAGGCTGTATTATGATATGCGGCTTCTATCATGATAGTTTTAGTTTCACTTGCAGTCATGTTTGCTTTGGAAAGCCTGGCAACTATTTCTCTGGCAGTGAACTTCGTGACATACTTCAATGGAGTGATGCACTTCCAAATAGCAGATGCAGCTAATATGGTAACCAACTACATGGGTGTCAGCTACATCCTCAGTATTGTGGCTGCTGTCCTTGCTGACACACTCTTTGGAAGGCACAGAACTGCTGTGATTTCAGGATGTCTCGAGTTGATGGTAAACATTTGTAGACAAACAGTAGATGAAGTTGTTTCTATATAAACATCTGTTTTGACATAAATGATATATATTCATTCAGGGACTATCACTGCTTGCTTTTCAAGCTCACTATGCCAGGCTCAAGCCACCTCCATGCAACATCTTAGATCCAACTGCTCACTGCGAGAAAGTAGGAGGCGGCAATGCAGTGCTTCTCTTTGTTGCACTATTCGTGCTTGCCGCTGGCTCTTCAGGCATCAAAGCTTCCGTGCCATCGCATGGTGCTGATCAGTTCGACGAGAAAGACCCGAAAGAGTTGATTCAGATGTCCAGCTACTTCAACTTTGTCTTGCTAGCAGTGTGCCTTGGTGCTGCAGTTAGCTTAACAGTTTTTGTGTGGATACAAGACAACAAAGGATGGGACTGGGGATTTGGAGTTGGTGCTATTTCCATGTTGTTGGCTGTGATCATTTTTATTGCTGGATTGCCTATGCACCGGATACATGTTGTTCAAGGATCTAGCACGGTGGTTGAAATTTTGCAGGTTTGCCCATATTGCTCACGAAAATGGAGTACAATAGAAACTATAGTACACACTTCCGTGGCCTGAACTGTTTCTAGATTATATATTTAAATATGAAGTTATTTTATATTTCTGCCATTTGTTCTCTTGTAGGTGTATGTTGCCGCATTTCGTAACCGAAAGCTTCAACTTCCAGAAGATCCTTTAGACCTCTATGAGATTAACAAGGACAAGGAAGCTGCTATCGAAGCAGAATTTCTACCCCACAGAGATACTTTGAGGTAAAATCTCTGATTCGATAAACAGATATTGATCAAAATATAATTCGTTACTGCTGAACTGAATCCATATATGTATCTTAGACATGAAAACTTGTTTGTTCAGATTCCTAGATAAAGCTGCAATCCAAACATCTACAGAGAAGTTTTCAGAAGCTCCAAATCCATGGAAACTATGCAGGGTCACACAAGTAGAAAATGCAAAAATTTTACTTAGCGTATTGCCGGTCTTTAGTTGCACCATTATCATGACCCTTTGCCTAGCTCAACTCCAAACTTTCTCAATTCAACAAGGACTCACCATGGACACCAGCATTACCAAATCTTTCAACGTCCCCCCAGCTTCTTTACCAATCATTCCAGTCATATTCCTGATTATCTTAGTCCCAATATATGATCGCTTAGTCGTGCCATTTGCACGTAAGTTCACAGGCCTCCCCACAGGTATAACTCACCTTCAACGTATAGGGGTTGGTCTAATTCTCTCGTCTATATCCATGGCCTCGGCTGCATTAATGGAAGTGAAGCGTAAAGACGTAGCGAGAGACCATAACATGCTAGATGCTATCCCTGTGTTACAGCCATTGCCCATCAGTACTTTCTGGATATCAATTCAGTTCTTCATATTCGGCATTGCAGACATGTTCACGTATGTGGGACTTCTTGAGTTTTTCTACTCAGAGGCACCAAAAGGGCTCAAGTCCATCTCTAGTTGCTTTCTATGGAGCTCTATGGCACTTGGATATTTTCTCAGCACCATATTGGTTAATATAGTGAATGGTGTCACCAAGGGAAGTACTAAAAGTGGAGGGTGGTTAGCAGGCAATAATATTAACAGGAATAATTTGAACCTCTTCTACTGGTTGCTCTCTATATTAAGCTTCATTAATTTCTGTGCCTATTTGTTTGTTGCTAGAAGATACAAGTACAAGCCTCAGAACGCTAGTCTGCCTTCAAATGAGAACAGAGAGGCTCCTGCCTACCAAGAAGATAGAAGAGAGAATTAATCCTCCACACCACCCCCCCCCCCCCAACACA